CAGCATCTGCGCGGCTTGCCAACATTGCATCCGCAGGTGATTGTAAGCGCATGTGCGAGCACCTACTTCGCAGGTGCTTGTAGACAGTTATGCACAACGTGCACTGTCGCGAACATTGCGCAGGTTGTCAGCCACATGCTGACGGTTGCACATGATGATCCACGTCGACCACGTACTGCCACGTCGGTCGACTTCGCCACAGCAACCTCGACGACGTTCGCAACCCTCCGCAGAACCTCGTCGAGCAGGTAACTTGGTCAACCAGGTAAAGTCCTTGACAACCCTGCAGGATGATGACCTTCGTCATCACCGGTTGACGACCTTCGTCGTCGCGGGTCGACGACCTTTGTCGTCGCGGGTCGACGACCTTTGTCGACCACCTCTATCGAACACCTCGGTCGACATTTCAAAATGTCAGCTCCTCATTTTCTGGCCAAAATTCGCCTGTGCAATCTCAAGGGTGCGCAGGGTCAGACGCGACCCTGCGCAGACGAACACCCGCGAACCTCTGTACGAGCTGCACCACTTGTACATGTGCACGAGACACTTGTGTTGCACTCGCGGATGCTCCAGTTACTCTTGCATGGATTCCCTAGTACACCTCGTGTATAGGCAACCCCTGTACACCTGCAGAAGGTCGGCTGCACCTCCCGCACACCCGACCACGAAGTCAGTTTTGCCCATGCGAGGGCGGGGCCAATTTCCTTCAACAATGTACGGGTTGGCCATGGAACTGCATAACACTTGGGCGAAAAGTGGGTTCTTTGTCGAGTCTCGATTGGACAAAACTTTGGCCCCAAATTTGTAAACCAATGAGACAGGCCTTTTTTTCATCGACTACACAACACTTGGTCTACTTGAGACCCTGGATTTAATTACTGACTCTTCCCATTTCCCTGCTCCCTCCTGTCGTTCCCTTTCGCTGGTGTTTTCTCGGGGCAGTCGCTCATGTAGTGAACCGTCTTCCCACACTTAAAACACGTCCCTTTAAAGGGGCGGTCAGGTGCGTGGACTCCGTTGATTGTGGCCCGTTGGGTCTGGCCGCGAAAATGGTTTCCCTCCCAAAAACCCGCCCTCGCATACTGCATCAGCGTGTCTGTAGACTCAGCCAACTGTACAGCTTCCATGAACGAAGTCGGCCGGCATCGGCGCACTTCAAACTGTATCTCGTATTTAAGGCCGCCGATGTATTTATCTAACCGCTCCGCCTCCGCCATGTCGTCCACTTGGTCGGCGAATGCCATAAACGATGCTGTGTAGTCCTGGACAGATGCCAACTGCGACCAGGCACGCAGCTTCATGCGAGCTTGCTCCGAGACGGATACGTGCTCGAAGCGATCCCGTAAGGCTGCGCCCCACTCCTTCCACGTGCGTATCTGGTCACTTCGAAGATTGATGTTGCCACTTGATTAGCCGATGTCGAGGTCCCGTCTGCCGCATGTGTCACACCTGTCGGGGTCCCCGTGTCCAAGGTGTGGCGCCACCATTCAAGCGCTGCGCCTCGAAGTAGAGAAAAAACGTAATTAATACGCGTGGCATCGTCGTGGACGTTCGCTGCAGTGAAGAAGACTTCAACGCTGAATAGCCACCCCTTCACTGTAGTTGTCTTGTCCGTAGGATTGAATTGGGGCGGGTTTGCAAATTTAATCTTGATCGTCGTAACTGCAACTGGCGTCGCTGCCGCTCGCTGCCTGTCTTCTTCTTCGAAGCCACGTGTGAGCGCATCCAACGGATTGCTCATCGCTTGACTGTTGCCTTCACCTTCTTCATCGGGCGACTCCGGACGCGCTTCACCTCGCGTCTGGCGTAGCTCGGTGCTTTCCTCACGTACGGTAGCGTTGTCACTTATGCCGAGATATTCTGCACTGTTGCCTGTAGCTCTTGCATTTGCACCAACATCTTGTTCAATGTTTCTTGGTCCATGAGTCGCACGCTTCGTTAGGTGGGCAGAGGGGTATCCGTGGCCTTTAGGCGAGTGGAAAGCAAAAACTATCGAAGTCGGGGAGGTTAGAATTAACGAACCTTGCTGCCAACCATTTTGCAGTCCACTGTACCAGCCAACCCGTGCCACCAAACTACCCTCGAAAAGCGGGGTGAACTAGGAAAGTAGCTCTGATACCAGGTGTTATGAGTTGTTAAAGAGAGTGCGCGGAATAACGAATAACGAGAGTGTGACTTAATGAACTGTCAATACAATGAAGGCACGCGACTATATAGTGACTACCCTAGCTAGGAGGGAACCTCGGGAAACGAGGTTGGGTGCAGGTTTGGCGACAGAAAGCCGAAGGCGATGCGGGGGAGCCTGGCATCGTGGATGTCGGCCGAACGTGCGAAGTCCGAAGTTTCGGGGTTGTACGCGTAGAAATCAACCCCGGTAAGGAAAAGGAAAATTCCTTAGATAACGTACTACCTTGTCGAAACCAGCAGACTAGCGAGAATTGTAACAACCGATAAAGACGAAACAGAAAATTCGCAAACAGGAGCATGCACGAATTTGCACACCAACTGGCACTGGAAGTTATTCCACAGGTTTCGCGAGCCGCCCATTCCAACGGTAACATTGCTGCAGGTCCCTTTCGACAGGGCAAAACCTACCACTCATCTGCTCCCCTCGTAAGTGCTGCAGTTTCGATCGATGAGTAAGTGGTGGGAAATTCTGAACCCACCCCTCCAGCTACCCATCTGTTTTTGTTATGGTGCAGACCAGCACCACACATTCCAGCGCGAGCGGCCTGCCGTCAATCCCTAGCTCACTTCGATTCGACTCAAAAGAGTTGACATTTGAGTCGACTCAAAAGAGTTGACTTAGAGTCGACTAGTAAAAAATGAGTCTAATGTCGACTCGAAAGAGTTTGACTTTTGAGTCGACTCAAAGTCGACGCCGACGCGGAAGTCTGCTCGTTCCAATCGCCATTTAAGTTCACTTTCGCCACTGAATGGCTCAGTCCTCCCAGGATTTTCCGACAGAGGGACTCACGGTGCACGGAAATCCCGACAGTACCTGTGCACTAAAATTCCTTAGTCGCCATGGCGCGAGCTACCGTGCTACTGACCCTCCTGCTTGTCCTCGCCTGTAAGTGATGGCGTTCGTAGCATCTGACCCAATTCCCGTTGTCCTCCCCTGACTCACTAGCCCCGTATGCATTAGCCGTATGCTGAGCATACTAGCAAAGCTCTCTTGTGCATCAGTCCGGCGTTCACAGTGTGACAGATGAAATTTCACTTCAGAATAAGCTAATGAACGGCCTGGAGTCGACAAATTCTCTTACCAGCCTTACATGTTCATCGTGGATTGACGACGTGTCATAAGGCTCTTGATATCCATCGTATCTCTCTCCTCTGTGAACTTTGAAAGTGTAACGACCATTCCTAGTACTCCTTCCCGATTCTTGTATTCGTTTCATCGCATTCTATCCCTCACGTCCTCCCCGCCCTTTTCCCCACTCTCCGTCTCTCCGCGGATACCTACTCCTTCCGCAAACCGCGGCTCTGGCGCGTGACTGAGCAGGGTCGTACCAGACTGAGGTACTAAACTCGTAGTACTCCTGTGCACCCACCCGTTAATCGCTCTGATAACGTATTTAATCGCTTGCATAAACTTCCATTTACTGATTCGTCTAAACGTGTTCTGATCACATCCCCGTCTTGACGATTATTCTTTCATTTAAGTTCTCCCTGACGTACATCCAAGTTTGGCCGCCGTGTTGCTGCAGGGCAAGAAGGTGGTGGTGGGCGGAAAGTGGAGGGCGAGTCCGTGGCGGTACAACGTTCTCTACTGGAAGCAACCCACCGTCCGCCCTGGTGACGTCCTCGGTAAGCCGCGCAATGATCGTGGACTATCTTGCCACCAGGCTGCGTACCAAAAAAAAACAGAGAAACATTTCTCTGTCTAGCGTGGCAAGGAGAGATGCTCGGGCTCAGCTTGTATAATTTCCACACGTGGCTTGTATCGTTCCCCCTCTTCCGCCCTCATTTCCCCCACTCTTCCTCCGTCCCTTCTTCCCCACTTGCTTTGCTCGTGCACCTCCCCCGCATGCACCCCCTTGCGTGTGTCCCGCCCGGCTGAAGTGTTCCGATGGCGGTTTTGAGGCGCTTCAAAACTAGACCCCTCACGTGCACCCCCTTGCGTGTGTCCCGCCCGGCTGCAGTGTTTCGATGGCGGTTTGTGCCGCATGACGTGTGGCTGATGCACTCAAGGAAAGCCTACACCAGCTGTGATTTCTCTGCCGGCAGCGCCACCAGGAAGACTGGCATCTCCTTCACCGGGAAATACAAGTAGGTTGCGCTGCTCTCTTCATCTCTTCCCTGTTCTACTTCCGGCCCATGCGTATTCTGAGTCAAGCTGAAAAGGCATTTTTGTGACTGGGAAAAAGAAGTAGGTTGTGAAGCTGCCTCTCGTCTTCCTTATGCCCCAGGCTTGGTGAGCATTGGAGCAGGCGAGGATGGTGAGTTTTTGGCTTGTATGTGAAAGTGTTGAGTCTGATTGGCAAGGGTGCCAACTCGTACCTGAATGCACTCACCTGTGTGTTTACTTGTGCCTCTGTTTGCTCAATCTATGCTTCTCATGCGTTGTCTGTATGCATGTGTCTGTGTGTGAATGTCTTCGGCATGTTTCAATCTTCAGGTACAAAGTGCCAAGTTCAGCAGCAGGAACCACCTTATACTTTGGCAGCAGTGTGATATGGCAGTGCGCTGCATGGAAGATCAAGGTGGCTATTCGAATCACTGCCTCCGGGCCTCCCGCCCCGCCTCCCCCTCCCCCTTCCCCTCCACCTTCCCCTCCACCTTCCCCTCCCCCTCCCGGACCTTCCCCTTCCTAACCCTCCTCCAACCATCGGCCTGCTCTCGGTGCAATGCTTTCATTATTCATGGGCCATGACACTGGTAGCATCTCATGTGACTAACCACTTATGGAAAATAAATACTTTCGTACACTAGTAACATGTTCGACACAGAACTGCTCATGCACCAAACTTGGAATTTGGATATTCCCGGGAAGGATGAGGATTTTGGTAGGGGTTCAAATCGGCATGGCTCTCTTCTCTGTGTTCGAACGTGGCTCAGTGCGGGTCAGGAGTCATCTTTCATGTTAGCGACCTTCAACAAGGGTAAGCGAGTACAAATATCATTCTCACCTTGTTTTTAGGGCGTGTTATGGTATTTCCTGAAGTGATTCGAGCGATGTTTCTCATCCAAAGTTTATTACGGTAATGCAGCTAACAGGTGTTCACAAGATGTTCACATAACAGGGATTGACACATATGAAGAATATAGCATACACTGTAGCTCCAGTTTGTGTTCTTTGAATATCAACGGATCCGTAGAAACTCGTTAGTATCTAATTTGTCAAACTACGTTTATGTTTGTGATAGGCTACAATGAGGTAGACTGTAGTGAGTACGTCACTTTAGGGTTAGCATATGTATCCCTTGCTTGCTAATCCAACCTCATTCCGCTGTTCCTAGTTTCTAACATCATCGAGTAGGTTCGTTCCGCCTGCCCTACGCGCTGCTGCCTTAGTGCGCGCTACTGCTCGCTGCCGCCCGCTGGCCTACCGCCGCGCCTCGCACTGCCACTGCTGCCCGCTACCCCGCGCTGCCGCCCTGCCCCGCGCTGCCCCGCGCGCGCTGCCCCGCGCTCCCCGCGCGCTGCCACGCTGCCGCCCCGCGCGCGTTGCTTCGCGCTGCCCCCCGCGCGCTGTTCCGCACTGCCCCGCGCTGCCCCCCCCCCCCACCCAGCGCTGCCCCGAGCTGCCCCGAACTGCCTCGCGCTGCCGCGCAGCCCTGCACTGCCCTGCGCTGCCCCCCGTGCGCTGCACCGCGCTGCCCCGCGCTGCCCCGCGCTGCCGCGCTGCCCATCGCGCGCTGCCCCGCGCTGCCCCGTGCTGCCCCGCGCTGCCGCGCAGCCCTGCACTGCCCTGCGCTGCCCCCCGTGCGCTGCACCGCGCTGCCCCGCGCTGCCGCGCTGCCCATCGCGCGCTGCCCCGCGCTGCCCCGTGCTGCCCCGCGCTGCCGCTCTGCCCTGCACGCGGCTCCACGCGCTGGCGCTGCCACCTCCTGGCCCGCCGCCACTGCCGCTGCCGCCCGCTGCCGCTACTGCATGCTACACGCGGCGCCGCGCGCTGCCATTGCCGCCCGCTGGCTCACTGCCGCGCCGCGCTACCTCTGTCGATCGTTGGCCCGCCGCCGCGCCGCGCGCACTCGCTTTCGGCCCGCTGCAGCCCACTAGACGCCCACTGCCGCTCACTGCCGTCAAACCACACTGCTCAGCGCTTCGCTACTGCGAGCTGCCTTGGTGCTGAACCGCCCACCCCTACCGTGCTACCCGTGCCTAGGCCTGCAGCAAGTTCCTAATGCTGTCGCCTGACCTAGTGCCTGTCATGGTGACTATTCCTGTGCTAGTCGCTAGATTTTGGATCTTGGCTAGAGGACCTGCACCTGTACCTCCGACGTGTCACTCAGGGCGACGCCTCCCTGTTCGAGCACACGTCGGGGTCCCTTACGGCCCCCAAGACTCCTGCTGAGCCTGCTGGTGACGCTGGGGAGGAGGTGCAGAAGCAGTAGCGCGCTGACCGCATTGCCTACACGCTGTGGACGGCGCGCGACGCCGCCGCCAAACATGCAGTCCGCACTCACCTCTTTCCCGACCAGAGAGCCCACTTTCGCCAGGTGACGTCGGCCCAGGCTCTCTAAACCGCTGTGGTTAGGCGCTACTCCTCCCCCTCTCCTGGCACCCTAGGCCGTCTTGCGCTGTTGTTTCCCTTCCCTGCGCTGTCATACTTCGCCGCTGTAGCTGACGGGGGTGGGAGTGGTAGTCGTAGTGGAGCTGGCGGGGGTAGCGGGGGCAGCGGGGGTGGAGCAGCCGATGGAGGAGGCGGTTCTGGGGGTGGGCAGCAGCAGGTAGAGACTGCGAGTGTCGGTGCTTGTGAGACTGCTAGCACAGGTGCAGTTCCTGCGGAGGCGTTGCTCTCGTTCACGCTGAACTCTGGCGCGACTCGGTGCTTCTTCCGCGACTGCACCATTGTTACACCACTCTCGGCACCAGTCCCTGTCACTCTGGCCGACCCCACCTCTGGACCAGTCTTTGCGCGCAGCTCCACTGTTCTCCCGTGTCCAGCAGTCCCCTCTGGCTCCCTCACATGTCTCCACCTCCTCTCGTTCGCTACGAACTTGGTGAGTACCGGTAACCTCCAGGATTCGTTGGTCACCATCAAAATTCTTGGAGGCGAGCGCGTGGCGATCTGTACGGACACAGAGACTGGAGACCACCTTGCCACGATCACACGGAGGCCTGGGTATGGACTGTACACACTGCACACTGCGTCCGCTCAGGTGGCTGCGTCAGGTTGGATAGCAGCGTCTTGCTCGTGTCGGTTGCTCACGCACCTGTCTCTCCTCTGGCACCACCGTCTTGGTCACCCCTCCCTGCAGCGCGCCTTCGCAGCATGCACTCGCGTCGCCTTGTTTCTGGCCTCCCGCAGACCCTGCCCCCGCTCCCGCCGTTGCTTGCGCCGCCGTGCACTCCCTGCGTCGAGGGGCGGCAGAGCGCCGCTCCTCACTCCTCCTCGTTTCCTCCGACCACTGCGACTGCAAACACTGCACATGGACGTGTGGGGCGCCGCCCCGTCCATGGACCGCACCGGGAGCGCTACTTTCTGCTGGTTGTCGACGACTTCAAGGCGCTACACCACGGTGTTTCCCTTGCAGCGCAAGGCCGACGTCGGTAGTGTTTTGATCCCTTAGATCCGCGTTGTTCGTCCCCAGCTGAGAGCACGTTTCCAGCAGGACTTCCCGGTGCTTCGTCTGCACTCTGACCGTGGAGGTGAGTTCTCTTCCGGTCTCCTGGAGGACGTTTGTCGTGAGGAGGGCATCATCCAGTCGTTCACGCTTCCGGCCTCTCCACAGCATAATGGGGTTCCTGAGCGCTGCATGGGCCTGCTCATGGAGGTTTCTCGCACCTCCATGATCCATGCGGCTGCTACACATTTTCTGTGGCCTTTTGCGGTCCGATACCCCGCGCATCAGCTCAACCTCTGGCCGCGTGTTTCGTAGTAGAGGTCTCGCCTACCCTCCTTTGGATGGGGGAGGTGGGCGATGTGTCACTGTTTCGGGTCTGGGGCTCGCTTGCCCTTGTCCGCGATCCCACCACGAACAAGCACTCTCCCCGCACTGTTCGCTGCGTCTTCCATGGCTTTCCTACCGACGCCCCTGACTGGCAGATTTACCACCCAACCACCCGCCGCGTCCTGTCCTCCCGAGACGTCACATTTGATGAGTCAATCTGCTACTACCGTCTCTACCCCCACCGCAGTTGCCTCATGGCCCCCCCTCTTCCTGGTACCCAGACCGCCCCATGTAGACCCCCTCCCCACCCTTGGTCTTGCTCCCTCAGGTGTGTCGCACGTCACCCCACTCCCCTCGGTTGTGCCTTTGGAGCACTCCTCTGACTCTTTTGGCCCGGCTGAGGGGGTTGATCCTGCTGCTGACGACACTGCGGCCTCTCGCCACATAAGGGCGACCTTTGTGATGTTCTGATCCCTTAGATTCGTGCTGCTCATTTCAAGCAGAGAGCTCGTTTCCAGCACAACCTCCCGGTGCTTCGTCTGTACTCTGAACGTGGGGGCGAGTTTGCCTCGTGTCACCTTGAGAGTCGTGAGGAGGGCATCACCCAGTTGTTCACGCTTCCGGCCTCTCCCCAGCATAATGGGATCGCTGAGCGCCGCATTGGCCTGGTCATGGAGGTTGCTCGCACCTCCATGATCCATGCGACTGCTCCCCATTTTCTATGGCCGTTTGCGGTCCGATACGCCGTGCATCAGCTCAACCTCTGGCCCCGTGTTTCATAGCCAGAGGCCTCGCCTACCCTTCTTTGGACGGGGTCGGTGGGCGATGCGTCTGCGTTTCGGGTCTGGGGCTCGCTTGCCCTTGTCCGCGATCCTACTGCGGACAAGCTCTCTCCACGCACTGTTCCCTGCGTCTTTCTTGGCTTTCCCACCGACGCCCCTGACGGGCAGTTTTACCACGCAACCACCCACCGCGTCCTGCCCTCCCGAGACGTCACCTTTGACCAGTCGGTCTGCTACTACTGTCTCTACCCCCACCACAGTTGCCCCGTGCCCCCCCCTCCGCCTCTCTTCCTGGTTCCAGGTCCGCCCCACGTAGACCCCCCCCTCCCCCGCATCCTGCTCCCTCATGTGTGTCTCACGTCACCCCACTCCCCTCGGCTGTGCCTTTAGAGGTCTCCGCAGACTCCTCTGGCCCGGCTGAGGGGGGTGACTCTGCTGCTGACAACACAGCGGCCTCTCGCCGCCCGCCGCGCTTGGAGACACCTCCTGGTTTTCTGCCTCGGTCGTCTCCGTCTCCCCCTTCGCCGCCTCCGCTGCAGCCTGTCGCTGTGGACTCCGAGGGGTCTGGTGCTGTTGGGAGTGGTTACTCTGGAGGTGCGGGTTCTGTGGGTGCTGACTCTGAGGGTGCTGTCTCAGGGGGTGCTGCGGGTCCTAGTGTTGGTGGGGTCGAGGGTGCTGCTGGAGGTTCTGCGGGTGCTGGTTCTGGGGATGCTGCCTCTGTGGGTGCTGGTGGTACTGGTGCTGGAGCTGGAGGTGCTGGAGCTGGAGGTACTGGAGCTGGAGGTGCTGGCACTGGAGGTTCTGAGGCTGCGTTGCAGCCACTGCCGCAGCGGCCGTTGTTCTAGGAGCAGCAGCAGTCGCCGCTGCCCCTACCTGGGACTGCTGCTGGAGGTTTTGGGGGTGCTGTAGGTACTGTTGCTGGAGCTGGACGTGTTGACTCTGGAGCTAGAGGTGATGGAGCTGGGCGTGCTGCCGCTGAGGGTGTTGGTCGTGCTGGAGCTGGCGACGTTCCTGGTGTTGGTACTGGAGGAGCTATTTCTGGGGGTGGGTCGCAGCCACTGCAGCAGCGGCCGTTGTTATGGGAGCAATGCCGTCGTCGCTACCGCTACTTGGGTCAGCACTTCACCACCTTTTCAGTCTCTTGCCTGCCTCTGCAGAGCCGTCTGCCACTGGTGCTACTCCTCCTCTGTTGTTTCCGCCGCCTGACCTGTCTCAGGCACGGTTGCCGCCTGGCTCCCCTCTGCCTGCTCCTCCTCGTTACTCCCCGCTGACCGACTCCCCGAACGAGTATTGGGAGCCTGCGTCTGGTGCTACCTCTCCTGTTGCTCGTCCTCGTCGCTCTCATGTTCGCCCTCCACCTGTTCACAGTACTCATACCATGGCACTTCGTCCTTCCTCTGTTTCACACCCCGTTTCCTTGCCGTTACCTCCTCCTTCTTCTCTTCCTGCCGTTCTTGACCCGGTGTCTGACCTTGCTCGTGCTGACCGTCTGACTGTCACTCATTTTCTCGCCACACTTAAGACGGACCCTCCTTTTTTGTTTGATTTTGCGTCTGCCTTGGTCGCTGAGCTCACTGATTTTGCTGCTACTCGCCGCCTTGACTACCTCGCAAGTCTGGTTTCTGACTCTGCATGTCCTGCGACCGTCGGTGGTGAGCTTGCACTTGGCTGTTACGTCCTTGAGGATAGGCGGTTCGAGCTGGAGCTCCTCGCGACTACTGCTCCTCATCTAGCTGCCATGCTGCTTACCCATGAAAGAGACACGGATGCACTTGACATCTCGACCCCACTCTCTTACGCTGAGGCGATCACGTGGCGTTAGTCCTCCAAGTGAAAGACAGCTATGGAATCAGAGATGGCATCCTGGAAGTCCATTGGCACCTATGTCGACGCAATCCCACCACCTAGGGTGAACGTCGTCAGTGGCATGTGGATTTTCAGGGTGAAGCGGCCGCCGGGTTCATCGCCTGCCTTCAAGGCGCGTTACGTTGCACGCGGTTTCAGTCAGCGTGAGTGGGTGGACTTCTTCCAGACCTTCTCCCCCACCCCGAAGATGACGACTCTTCGGGTGTTACTGCACGTTGCGGCACAGCGTGACTACGAGTTACACTCGCCCGAATTCTCCACGGCCTTCTTGCAGGGCAGCCTCCACTAGCAGATCTGGTTGAGCCGCCCACCTGGCTTCACTGGGTCGTTTCCTGAGGGTACTAAGTGGAGCCTCCGGCGGCCACTCTACGGTATGCGTCAGGCGCCCCGCGAGTGGCACGACACACTGAGGACGACACTTGCGGCTCTTGGCTTCGCTCCTTCGACTGCTAAACCGTCCATGTATCTACGCACTGGCTCTGCTTTACCGCCGTTCTACATCCTCGTGTACGTAGACGACCTGGTCTTTGCGACTGCTGACAGTGAAGCGCTGGCCTTCGTGAAGGCCGAGCTGCAGAAGAGACACACCTGCACTGATCTGGGTGAACTGCGAACCTATCTTGGTTTGCAGATCACCCACGACAGAGCAGCACGCACCATCACTCTGACTCAGTCACACATGGTGCAGCAGGTCCTTCTGCGATTCGGTCTTCAAATCTCCTCGCCACAGCCCACTCCTCTGCCTACGGGCCACACGCTCTCAGCTCCACCTTCGGACGAGTCCGTAGAGCCTAGTGGACCGTACGCAGAGCTTGTGGGTTGCCTCATGTACCTGATGACGTGCACTCGGCCTAACATCGCGTACCCACTTAGCATCCTGGCTCGCTACGTGGTGACCGGGAGACACCGACTTGAGCTCTGGTCGCCTGCTACGAGGGTGATGCGTTACTTGGCCGGTATATCAGGCTTGGGGCTTGTGCTTGGGGGACGGGGTGCAGTTGTGCTCACAGGGCACTCAGACGCTTCGTGGGCTGACCACCAGGCGACTTCCCGGTCGTCACAGGGTTACGCTTCCAGCCTTAGTACTTTTGGTGTGTCGTGGAGGTCCACTCGCTCGTCTTCTGTACTCATCTCCAGCTGTGAGGCCGAGATACGCTGGGGCCGTGGCTGCGCAGGAGTTACGATGGCTGACCTACTTTCTTACCGACTTGGGTGAGCAGCCTCGTTTTGCACCGGTTCTGTTCGCTGACAACAAGGCCATGGTTGTCTTGTGTCAGGAGCAATGACTCGAGAGTAGCACGAAGCACATTTCCCTTTCTTACTTTCTGCTGCGAGAGTTGCAGCAGCGTTGTCAGGTTCGCCTTGTTTACGTGGCCTCTAGGGCCAACAATGCTGATATCTTCACCAAGGCCCTTGGGCCTAGTGATCATCAGCGTTTCTGCACTTCTCTTGGACTTGTGCCTACTCTGACTCACTTGCTTGCCTCTTGATCTCCTCTTGTGCTTTCTGTACGGTGATATATATCTATACCTACATGTGTACACTTGCTAGGTTGTGATCATTGTTTTGCGTTTGCTGTTATATAACTGCATGTGAACTGGCCTTGTGGTCGACTGCTTGTGCTCAGACTGTGTGGTGATCTTCAGATCCACCCTGAGCGTTGTTATTGTTTCTTCTCTTGACTGGTCTTGTGACCATTTGTTGTTCTTGCTCTCTCTTGCTATCCCTCACTTTGCCTATGGGGGTGTGTCAAACGATGCATATTGTTGTTGGGCTATAGTGAGGTTAGCCATAAAACAGAACTTTCAGAATCCACAAAAAAATGCAGAAATATCAGTTTGTTTTTTAGGCAAATCAGAACTCTCTGACTTTTGGATGTACCTTTGCTGTGTTAATTTTCTCATAGCGCGGATGCGGATGCTTTCTCCCACATCAACATCGGTGAATCCAACGCCACGTGTCGGCTTTAGTGTAGGCAGGAAAGCAGGCAGCATCCCAGACGAAGATCGCCTCGCCGGCGTAGCGGGCGACGTAGCGGGCGACGTAGCGGGCGACGTAGTGGGCGACGTGGCAACCGACGTAGCAACCGACGTAGCGAGGGAAGTAGAGGCGGGCGACGTAGCGGACGACGCATGAGCGATGGGTAACCAGGTGGTGATCGCGAAGGCGGCGGCGGCGGGCGTGGCGTCGGACTACTGGGTGCACGACCTGCCGCGCGGCGTGGTGCTCAAGGACGTGCTGGCGCCGGGCCGCTTCCTCAAGACGCTCGACTGCTTCCACCACGAGGGCCGCGTCATCGTTAAAGTCTTCCTCAAACGCGCCGACCTCGCGCTCCCGCTGCAGGCCAGTCATCCCCGTTGCCAGTTCCGCGTTACAGGCGCAATTGAATCCTTTCCGTGCCGCAGTTGCGTGAGCTGCCGTCACGGCCGAGTGAGAGTGGGCGGGTTATGGGGAGAGAGCGGCGCTCGGGGGACAACCCCAGTGGATGAGGATGAGGGGGACGGCGTCAGCGCCACGTGCCGGTCGAGCGGCTAGAGTGCCTTCCCCATCTCATAAGAAGCGCCATCGCCGTTGGCCACGCACGCTGTGCGCTCGCCTCGGCTGTTAGCCGCGGCAGATTGCCAAATGGCCTCCTTACCCCCGTCCCATCCCAGACTGCGCCCTTACCTGCGCCCTCCCCTGCGCCCTCCCCTGCGCCCTCCCGTCTACCCCATCCGCAGGCGTACGAGCAGCAGCTGAAGGTCATTCGCCACCGCCTCTCAGGCATCGACAAGTCGCACGTCTGGCCCTTCCAGGTGCGCCCTGCCCTTCCAGGTGCGCCCTGCCCTTCCAGGTGCGCCCTGCCCTTCCAGGTGCGCCCTGCCCGTCCAGGTGCGTCTATGCATCATCATTGCCCCATGCCGCATGCACCACTGTCCCATCGCCTTTCTCTCCCGCCACTACCCACCCTTCCTCTCTACAAATCTATTCTGACGATTCAGCCTCGTCCCCTTCTGCTGTCGTATTCCCTTCCACCCTGTCTGTCCCCTCCGCTGCCCTCTCCCTCTACCAGAAGTGGTATGAGACGGAGCGAGCGGCGTATGTGCTGAGGCAGTACCTATTCAGCACGCTGCACGACCGCCTCGGCACGCGCCCCTTCCTCGGCCTCACCTTCAAGAAGTGGATCGCCTTCCAGGTGCGCTGCTGCCGTCCATTCCAGGTGCGCTGCTGCCGTCCATTCCAGGTGCGCTGCTGCCGTCCATTCCATGCAGCGTTGCCTTCCAGGCGATCCAAGTGTTCTGCCTTTCCCATGTCAACGTGGATCGCCTTCCTTCCTTCCAGGTACGCTACCCATGCCTCCCAGCCTTTCAGTGCGGCTCCTTTCATGTACAGCTCTCGGATCGGAGCCTTAAGTGTGTCTCATCCATCCCTGCCAACCTGCTCTCGTCACTCATCAGCTCCACAGTCAGTTCTTCCTTGCCCTCTCGTCCCTCTACAGTGAGTGTTTCCTTGCCCTCGCGTCCCTCTCCCCCCACCTCTCCCCACCGCGCAGATCCTCAAGGCGTTGGACCAGGCGCACTCACGGGGGGTCTGCCATGGTGCGTGCGCCGCCTCCCCACTCCCCTCCCTTCCCTGCCCGCAGTCTCCCTCACTCGCCACCTCTCACTCCGCTGCTCTCTTCTTTCGCCCTCTCACTGCTGCCGTGCCGTGCCCTCTGTCGCTGCTGCCCAGTTGTTCCCTGTGTCCTTCCTTCTCAGCTTTTCCCCACCTTCACCACTATGCCACCATTCCCTGCCATGCCATGAGTCTCACGCCCTCCCACCTTCTGTGTGCGCGCAGTACCACTTCCTTTAACTCGCTCATCATCTGCACCTCTCCCTCCTCACACCCACTCACCTCCCCCTCACCACGCATCACGAGAAACCAATAGGCGCTCACAGCACGCTCACAGTACGCTCACAGCACGCTCACAGTACGCTCACAGTACGCTCACAGCACGCTCACAGTACGCTCACAGCACGCTCACAGTACGCTCACAGCACGCTCACAGTACGCTCACAGCACGCTCACAGTACGCCCACAGTACGCCCACAGTACGCTCACAGCACGCTCACAGTACGCTCACAATGGACACCTCCTCCTCTAAGCCTTGCTTACGTCATGCACCCACCCACTCAACACGTGTCTATCACCATGTCATGCGCGTGCATGCATGTGCATGTGTGGCAGGCGATCTGAAGGCGGACAACGTGTGTGTGACGGCGTGGAACTGGGTGTTTGTGGTGGACTGGGCGCCATTCAAGCCTGTCCTCGTGCCCTCTGACAACCCCGCCATCTTCTCCTTCTTCTTCGACACAGCCCCCTCCGGCCGCCGCCGCTGCTGCATTGCCCCTGAGGTGCGTTGCGCCCCCCCCGAGGTGACTTTTGAGTCGACTCAAAAGTCCCTTCAAGCCCGTCCTCGTGCCCTCTGACAACCCCGCCATCTTCTCCTTCTTCTTCGATACCGCTCCCTCCGGCCGCCGCCGCTGCTGCATCGCCCCCGAGGTGCGTTGCGCCCCCACGTTGCCACTCCCTCCACCCGCTCTGCTTCCCCCCACCCGCGCTGCTTTTCCCCACCCTCGCTGTTTCCCCGCACCCGCGCTGCTTCCTTCCCCCCACCAAAACCCAGGCTTGCCCCTTCCCCCTTGCCTCTCCTTCAGTAGATCCCCTGGAAACTACCTGTACACCGACTTGGGATATTAGAAGCACTACAAGTACGAATGCTAGGCGGTAGTCTATCACTAGCACACACTCTCGTTCTTTGCTCTCTTTTTCCAGACTGCTGCGATGCCATGTGTGATGCGGCATGGCCACCATGCCCCATGCATGCAACACACATGGCGCATGTGCCTTGGATTGACATGCTCTCACGTGGAACATTTGGTGCTGCATGCATGTGTCCTGGTGTGTTTGTGTATTGATGTCATGACGTGGCATGGCATGGCACGGCACGGCACGGCATGGCATGGCATGGTATGACATATCATGACATAATGTGACGGCATGGCAGCGGTTTGTGTCGGCGAGTGAGTGGAGGCAGAGGCAGAGTGAGGGGGAGGGAGGGGCGGGGGGAGCACAGCTACAGCCCGCCATGGACATTTTCTCCGCGGGGTGAGTGTTGCCCTCTCTGTGTGTGCATGCTGCTAAGGTGTTGCTGCTAAGGTGTTGCTGCTAAGGTGTTGTATCCAAGAACAACAGGGGACAAGCATCTCCCTTGACCCCACGTCCCCCCACCGCCACACCACCCCCTCCCTGCGTCCATGGCAGGTGTGTGATAGCGGAGATGTTTCTGGACGGCGATGTGCTCTTCGACCTCTCCTCGCTGCTCGCCTACGTGCACGGCTCCTACAACCCCCTCCCTGTCATCGACCGGGTATGCGCCACCCACCCCCCCTCTCAAGGCGTGTGCCCCACGGGCCTTGTAGCGGGTGTGCCGTACTGCTGGGTGGGGTGGGGTGATTCACATGTCTCTCATCACATCTCATCCCACCCGCCCCTCTTCTGCACTCCCCTCGCACCGCTTCGCGCATTCTCCTGCCACACACGAAATGCGTCCCGTGTGTCTCATACGCACCCCCCTCCCCTTACCCTCCGCCTATCCCGTGCCCTTCATTCATTCAGAGCCCTGGTGGCGCACATGGAGCAGAGGGACATGGAGGAGCAGAGGGACCCTTGGCGCCGTTTCCACAGCCAGTGGTTCATCTGGCGGCCGTGCCTGCCGGCACTCCCTGCTGCTATCCCACGTCTCTTCTTCCCTCTCTGCGCTGCCTTGCCTACCCCCATCCCCCCGCCCGTCCCCGTCCCTATGCATGGCAGATCCCGTGCCCATCAGTGCGCGCCCTGGTCACGCACATGGTACAGAGGGACCCCGCACAGCGCCTGCCATCCCTGCTGCTACCCCCCACCTCTCGCTCCCCCTGCCTCCCCGCATCCCTCCCTCCCCCTTCAGATCCCGTGCCCATCAGTGCGAGCCCTGGTCACGCACATGGTACAGAGGGACCCCGCACAGCGCCTGCCATCCCTGCTGCTACCCCCCACCTCTCCCTTCCCCTGCCTCCCCGCATTCCTCCCCACCCCTTCAGATCCCGTGCCCATCAGTGCGAGCGCTGGTCACGCACATGGTGCAGAGGGACCCCGCACAGCGCCTGCCAGCAGCGGCGTACCTGACGGCGTTCAGCGACCCCCAGGGCGGCGCACTCTTCCCCCAGCCCGCCTTCGACGCCCTGCACGACCAGCTGTTCTGCCACCTGCCCGCCATGGACGCTGATGGCCGGGTAACATGGGCCGGGGCGGGGTCATGCTGCTCGTGAGATGCGGTGGTGGGTGGGTGGTGGGAGTGGGGTGGTGCTGATGGGATGCTCATGCTGCTACCTGCTGCTGCTGCTGCTGCTGCGGGTGCTGCCAGCATGGGCAGCAGCAGCTGGGTGGTTTGGAGGCATGGGCTCAAACGGCAATTGCCCCGCATGCCGTAACTCTTTGAACTTTCCCCCACTATGCCCTCTGCACTTCCTCGCCTCTCCCCCCTTCCCCCAGATCGCCCTCACTCGCCAGCTCTACCCGCGCCTCTCTCGCATCATCGCTTCCTCGCTGCAGGGGGGTGGGGAGGGGGATGCCGAAGGGAAGGGGGTTAGGGATGGGGCGGGCGGGAAGGGTAGTGCTGGAGAGGCAGAGAGGGGGGAGAGTGGAGTGTGGGGAAGTGGGGGTGGGGAGCAGTGGGGTGAGCAGGAGGTGGCAGTGGAAGGGGGCGTGGAGGGGAGTGGTGAATTGAGGGGGGATGAGCAGGGGCGTCGTTGTGAGCAGGTGACAAGTAGTGTGAGGGAGAAATATGATGAGAGCCAGCAGGGCAGCAGCAGCACCACCTCGTGTGAGAGTGACACAGGCGATGACACAGGCGCTGATGGCGTGGGAACAGGCGACATTATTCCTGGCACTGAGATAGGCGAGGGAGCTGGGAGAGTTGTGAGAGCTGAGAGTGCTACAAAACCTGGGAGAGGCAGCACAGGCGCACGGGGCAGTGCGAGTGAGAGCATGGGAGGCGGTGTGGGCAACAGTGGCAGCGCCATGGTGCTGCTAGTCGGGCTGCTCACAGCCTGCCTGCGCAACGCTCGCCTGCCGCACTCCCGCCGCCACTGCCTGCTGCTGCTGCACGCCGCCGCGCACCACTGCTCGCACGCCGTGTGCCTGCAGGCCGTGGCGCCCTTCCTCGTAGCCGTTCTCGCCCCGGACGGGCTCACCGCCACGCCGCTGCACGCCCTCGACACGCTCCTCCCCGGCGGGCACGGCGCTGCCAGCCCGCCCCTCGTGCGCTGCACCGCGCTCACCGTGCTCACGCGCCTGCTGGCCCGCGTGCGCTCCTTCCCCTCCACTGATGCCCGCTTCTTCCCCGAGTACCTCTTCCCCTCGCTCTCGCTGCTCCCCCGCGCGCCCGACGAGAGCGTGCGCGCCACGCTCGCCCTCTGCCTGCCCTCCCTCGCTGCCTCTGCGCTGCGCTTCCTGCTGCTCGCTGCGGGGGGAGCCACCCGCGCCACTGGGGGGAGCGAGGGGGGGTCCGGCCAGGGGGCGAGTGAGGGAGAGAGGATCTCCAGCGGCACTGCATGGGGGGAATCGGGTGATGGCGACGGCGACGGTGACGGCCACGACAGCAGCAGCAGCGGCGTGCCGGGCTTGTCTCTAGCAACCACGCTCACCTCGCTCAAGGCGCTGGCAGCGGCAGCGGAGCGCCTCCCAGAGCAGCACATGGGCGAGGTAGCGGAGGTGAGGGAGGCAGTGCGCGTGGCGGTGGAGGAGCTCTCCACGCTGCCCCGCAGCACCCCCCCCATCCGCCTCTCCCTGCTTAGCCACGCGCCCTCCCTCGCTGTCTTCCTCGGCCCCTCCCTCGCCACCACCGCGCTGCTCCCTCTCCTCATCACCTTCCTCAACGACCCCTCCCCCCGCGTGCGCTCCGCCTTCTTCCACACGCTGCCCGCGCTCTGCCCCCATGTGGCCCCCTCCGCCCTGCCCGCCTTCCTCCTCCCGTGCCTCGAGCAGGCCCTCGGGGACACCTCGCATTCCTCCGTGCCTGCCGCTGCTGCTGCCTGCCTGGCCCAGCTCGCGCGCTCCCAGCGCCTGCAGCAGCGGCGGTGGCTGCTGTCAGCCGCGCGCCATGCAGCGCCGCTGCTCAGGCACCCTGAAAGGGACGTGAGGGGCGCTGCTGTGGCGTTTGCAGCGGCTGCTGCGGGTCAGCTGTCGGCTGTTGACGCCCACGCGCTGCTGCTGCCGCTGCTCTCCCCCTCCCTGCGCTACCGCCCTGCGCTGCTCTCCTCCCCTGCGTCGCTTGCTGCTGCGCTCAAGGCGCCTCTGTCAGCCCACCCTGCTGTCCCGCCCCAGCCACCCCTCCCAGCCCAAGCAGGTGTGGCGTCCTGGCAGATGAATGCAGGGCAAGCAGCAGCACCCGACCTCTGCGTGCCGCACGTGCTCTCACCTGCTGCTGCGCGCGAAACGGAGGCTGGCCGTGCTGCTGCTGCAGGTGCGGGTGTGAGTGCGGGTGTGAGTGCGGGTGAGCATGGCAGCAAGAGAGGAGTTGGTGCAAGGGGCGGCGAGGAAGAGCAAGGTGCAGACATGGGAGCAGCGGGCCGGGGGGAAGGAGGCGCAGCAGACGTGCAAGGGAAGCGGTCGGTGAGGCAGGAGGAGGGGAGGGACGTGGCGATGGGAGTGCAGGCGGCGAGTGGGCGAGCAGCAGCAGCAGCAGCAGCAGCGCAGCACGTGGCCTCGTCGACACTCGCACACTCCCTCTCCATGCAATATGCTGTGCCCTCCGCACCGGGAGCAGCAGCAGCAGCAGCGCCATACCCAGCCATGGCTGCCGCGCTTGCCAGCATGCGCACAGACACGGGGGGGCAGCCCTGGCCGCCCCTCCCCTCCACTGCTCAAAAGTCTTTTGAGTCGACTCAAAAGTGGCCTGTCACCTCCCACTGGCCGTCTTCCACCGCTCACTGGCCCTCCACACCCCTCCACACTCCCCTGCCTGCCTCTGCATCCCACTCTCTCCTCGTCCCCCCCCTCCCCCCTCTCCACCCCTCCATCTCCTCGTTCCTCCCGGTTCGATTCCCATCCCCTCGCCCCGCGTCCTCCCCCCTCTCGCTCTCCTTGTCCTTCCACCGGCCCCCTCCTCCCCTCACCACCCACCCGCCCTCCTCTCTCACCTCCTCCACCACTCACCAACCCCTTCCCACACACTCTCTCGCTCCCATCCACCTTCCCCTTGCTCCCTCTCTCCCGCCTCTCCCCTCTCCCTCGTCGCACCCCTCGCCCCAATCCCCCTCCGCCTCCTTCTCTCTCGCCCCTGCCAGCCCACACGCACAGTCCCACCCAGCTTTGGATCTCCCACCCCTCGCTGTGCCGCTCTATTCACTCGCCCACCCCGCCTCCGCCCTGCCCACTGCAGCCTCCACCTCCCCGCTCCCCTCCACCACCCTCTCTCCCCCTTCACTGCCTCGCCCCCCGTCAGCACTCTCACCCTCCGCCGCACCCACTGCCACTCTTGCCGCTGCTGCTGTCACTGCGGCTGCTGCAGCCTCTGCGGGTGCCACAGGGCAAGCCACTCTAGACGCGCTGGCAGCCGCACAAGCTGCCAGTGCCGCTGCTGCTGCTGCTGCCCCACTGCCTGCGCCCGCCTCACCATCTGTTCCTGCTGCCGCGGCCAGCGTCTCTGCCTCCTGCTCGCATGCCACATCTCTGCCTGCTGAAACACCCTGCACTCCCGTTGTGGGGGCATGCGACCAGTCCCCTGCTGCTCCTGCTGCGCGCTCCACTGACCTACCTGCACCTCACCTCTCATCGCCGGCTGATCTCCCATTTGCCTTTGACTCGCTTGACGACCTCCCCTCTCCCCCCCCCACCTCCTCCCCTCTCCCCACCTCCCACTCCGCCTCCCAGCCGTCCCTCCCACCAACCACCACTCCACATTCCTCCACCACACCCACCAGAACCCCAGCGTCACTCCCACCCTCTAACGCCCTCCCTCCTCACACAACCCCTCTCCTCCCCCACACACTGCACGCCCCCCCTCCCGCCCCTCCCCCCCCCACGCCGGTGTCACACTCACTAGTGTTCCTGGGCACCACGCAACCCCACACACGCATCTCCTCCCTCTCCCTATCCCTCCGCTCCTCCCGCCGCCCCCCCTCCTCCTCCGCCCTCCCTCCCTCCGCCTCCCCGGCTCCTCATACCCTCCCCCCTGCCATGCCTGCTGCCGGACCTGCCAGCATGCGTGCAGCAGAGGCTCGGCAGGGAGGCAGAGCAGAGGAAGAGATCAACAGACGTGTGTGTGCGGCAGGCAGGGAGGGGCACACGGCGCTTCTGGAGAGGCCGGGGGCGTTAGCTGGTGCTACTGCTGGCGGCGAGGTGCCAGCGCGTGCAGCAAGTCACGCTCTATCATCCGGGGCTGATCGCAGTGCCGCCCATGTCAATGCCACGTCATCTGTCACGTCATCTGCCACGTCTGCATCTCCACATCTCGTGGAACCGGGTGGGGTGCGTGCGGGGACCACGGGACATGCACAGCTGGCAGCAGCAGCACAGTTAGCAGCACCATCAGCAGCGGGTCAGCCAGCAGGCGCGGAGGCAGAGGAGAGCAGGGAGCGAAGAGCAGCAGCAGCAGTGAGCTCAGAGGTGCAGAGGCTGCTGGGGTGGGGCAGTGCGGACGACGGTGCAGCTATGGCGCTGCCTCCCGCGTCCCCCTCACCGCTCTCCACCACAGCAGCAGCATGGCGGCCGCGCGGAGTGCTGGTCGCGCAGCTGCACGAGCACCGCGCCGCCGTGCCCGCGCTGGCAGTGGCGCCCAACAGCCAGTGGTTCGCATCGGCCTCACATGACGGCACCGTCAAGGTGTGGGACGCCACTCGCCTTGACCGCGGCACCGCCTTCCGCTCCAAACTCACCTATGCGCCGGGGGGAGCAGCAGTGGCAGGGGCAGGTAAAGCGACTGCGGTGGCGGTGATGGGGGACAGTGCGACGGCGGCGGTGGGGTATGCGAGTGGGGAGGTGCATGTGGTGCACGTGGACTATGCACCGCGCTTCCTCTCCTCACCCGACTCCTACCGCTGCATCACCCGCATGCCTGCCCTCGAGCCCTCCTCCCCCTCCTCCCCCTCCTCCCCTTACAACCACGGCCCTGGCGCATCAAGAGGCGCCATCCTTTCTGTGCACTCGTGGGCCGGCTCCCACCTGGGCGCCACTCACTCTCCCCTCTCTGCCTCCTCCTCCTCGCTCTTCGCCTCCAACCCCCTCTCCTCCTCGCACGCACTCCTCCTCGTCGCCTCACTGCACGGCGGCATCACCCTGTGGGACATGCGAGCCGCCCGCCCCGCCTTCTCCCTGCACCTGCACGCGTCCCTAGGAGCGCCCACCCACGTGCTCCCCGACCCGCAGCACGGCCTCTGGCTGCTGGCGGCGTCCTCCTGCTCCGCGCTCTGCCTCTGGGACCTGCGCTTCCTGCTCCCCCTCTCCTCCTGGCGCCTCCCCTCCGCCCCCTCCGCGCCCCACCCGCCCCCCATCACTGCGCTCGCGCCCATGCTGCCAGCGGCCTTCCCCCCCGCAGGGGACGCCATGGGGGCTGCGGCAGCAGGTGGGCCGGAGCACCTGCCAGGGTGGTTTGGGGCGGACCGGGGGAGGGGAGGCACGGGGGGAGGGGCAGTGGGGGCGACAGGGGGTGGGGCAGCAGCAGCGGGAGCAGCGGGACCAGGGGGAGCAGTGGGGGGGGCGTCGCGGCCTCTGGTGTATGTGGCGAGTGGCAGGGACGAGGTGGGGCTGTGGAGTGCCGACACGGGACAGTGCCACCAGGTAGGTATGAGCGCCAGTTCCCACCACACTGAACCATGGTGCACCGAGAGCAGAGGTCCAATCCCTCTGCCGTCATTCCACGGTCCACGCTCATGCTTCAGCACTCTACTCCTTCACAAGCACACATGATGGCATGGCATCACACCTTGCTTGCCTTGCACCGCATCCTCACCTGCCGCTGCCCGCTGCCCGCTTCCCCTCCTCCCCCAGGTCTTCTCCGTGGCCCCCCAGCCCGCCTCCAACACCGCTCCCCCTCCCTCCCTGCCCTCGCCCTCCAACCTCCCCACCGCTCTGCAATCCCGCCCACACCTGCTGCCGCTGCCGCCCTTCTCCACCACCACCACCACGCCCTCCGGCCGCACCCTCTCCTCCTCGCCCTGCTTGCCCAACGGCCCTCTGCCCCAGTCAACGCAGTCAACGCAGAGCGGGGCAAGGCAGGCAAGGCAGTCAGCACTGCGGGTGGAGCAGCTGAAGGAGCCACCAGGCAGGGCGGGGGGGGTGAGGGCGCTGCTGGGAGTGCCGGGGGGCGGTGCGCTGCTCACAGCCGGCACTGACTGCTGCATCCGCTACTGGTGCCGCCTCAGGTGATTGCTGCCTCAGGTGATTGCTGCCTCAGGTGATTGCTGTCTCAGGTGATTGCTGCCTCAGGTGATTGCTGTCTCAGGTGATTGCTGCCTCAGGTGATTGCTGTCTCAGGTGATTGCTGCCTCAGGTGATTGCTGTCTCAGGTGATTGCCACTTCAGGTGATTGCCACTTCAGGTGATAGCCACTTCAGGTGGTTGCCACTTCAGGTGATTGCCACTTCAGGTGACTGCCACTTCAGGTGGTTGCCACTTCAGGTGGTTGCCACTTCAGGTGGTTGCCACTTCAGGTGGTTGCCACTTCAGGTGACTGCCACTTCAGGTGGTTGCCACCTCAGGTGATTGCCACCTCAGGTGATTGCCACCTCAGGTGATTGCCACCTCAGGTGATTGCCACCTCAGGTGATTGCCACCTCAGGTGATTGCCACCTCAGGTGATTGCCACCTCAGGTGATTGCCACCTCAGGTGATTGCCACCTCAGGTGATTGCCACCTCAGGTGATTGCCACCTCAGGTGATTGCCACCTCAGGTGATTGCCACCTCAGGTGATTGCCACCTCAGGTGATTGCCACCTCAGGTGATTGCCACCTCAGGTGATTGCTGCCTCAGGTGATTGCCACCTCAGGTGATTGCCACCTCAGGTGATGCTCTGCTGGTGGGCCGTGCAGGGTACACTGCAGGTGATGCTCCCTGTGTCCACTGCCACAGCTCTCTATCCATTTCCTCACTCCCCCGCCCCTCCCCACCCCCCCCTTCCCCCCCGCCTCCTTTCCTCGCGGGCGAGAGGGCAGGCCGGAGCAGAGTGGGTGGGTGAGCGGGCCCACAGCCAGGGGGGCGCGGGGAGAGGTGCTGCACCCGCGCTATGACATGCGCATCGTGCACGGCGCTAGAGTCATTCAGGTGCGTGGTGCACGGCGCGAGAGTCATTCAGGTGCGTGGTGCACGGCGCGAGAGTCATTCAGGTGCGTGGTGCACGGCGCGAGAGTCATTCAGGTGCATGCATTACCAGCCTGTCTCCCTTGCACTGTGTTCTCATCCACTGGTTGCTGCAAACACCACTCTCACTCTCTCCCCCTCTGTCTTCCACTCTGTTCGTCCCATCCGTCCACCGCCACCCCCTCCCACGCCTCGTCTATCCCGCTGCACCCACCGCAGGAGACACCGCCTCCCTTCTACGTGGATGTGACGCGGCAGCGGGCCAGCGGCACTGCCGCCTCCACTCCACAAGCAGGCGGGCGGGCAGCAGCAGGCAGTCAGGGGCACGCGGATTCAGCCCCGGGAGGGGCAGCGGGAGGAGGAGGTGGAGGGGCAGGGGGAGGAGGGCGGCGCAGCATGGTGGAGGTGGCGGCGGTGGATGTGGGGGGGTGCCACCGCGATGCCGTGCTGGCTCTGGCCGTGGCGGACCCGGGGCAGCGCCTGCTGCTCTCCGCCAGCCGTGACGGCGTCGTCAACGTCTGGCGCTAATGCAATATCCCCACCTGGCCTGGACTAGGGCGCAGGTTCACGGCGTGATTGACTCGTGTACAGATAGTATAGCAGGCATTCGAGGGATGATAGTAGTGAATAGAGGTGCTTCATCTATTTTGCGTGAAGATGTAAGATTCATCTCACGCTATCGGAGAAAGGGGGGGCTTAATCGGCTCGCTAGTGAAAGCAGCGAATGCTAGCAAAGAAAACGAAAGTGCCCACGTCGTTTTTGAAGCAATTTTGCCGCGGATTACGCGTTCCGCAAGCAGCACACCACACGTCGAAATGCTTAAATTTTCCATAATGGCAAGCAAGATTGTTCAGGTAAGGTGGTTAGTGAACTGTGTTGGGGTAACTTCCCGAATTGCTTTTGCCGACGAAACTTATGGTGAGCCTGTACAGGAGGCAGTCAATCACCTCAACCGTGGCTGTTCGTCGGAACATGTCATTCCACGTCGATGCCACGTCACAGCGTGGTGCTTGTGTCTGGCGAACACTTTCCACTTCTCAGCACAACGTTCTTACCGGGGCACTCAGTAACGGTAGCCAAACTCACTCGTTCGATGCAACCGTCACTTGGCTCGCTGTGCTGCGAGCAGCAGTCTGGGCAAGAGTGACCACAAACGTCTGCTGTCATCGACCTCCATTCCATACAGCTTTCGGTTGCTCGCCTCCCTTACTCATAGCAGCAGAGAACAGAGAGAGTAGGTCAAACGCTGGTCGCTACCGCCCCACAACTAGCCCACACCCCCGCCACCACTCCGCGTACCAGCAAGCAGGACCCACCACCAACCATCAGCACACACCGCGCAGCAGCAAAGCACCGGCGGGCGCCATGATGGCAGTCGGTCCCCGCGCTTCGCGGCGAGGAGCCGCGGAGGTCCCAAGGCGGCTGCTGCCATCGCATCGCCATGCGACCGCCGCCGTGTCGGCGGCCTTCGCGCTTTTGCCCACAGCTCCTGGCCGTCCGTTCTTCTCGCTCTCCGCCTGCCCCACCCAATCAGCGTCCGCCATTTGTCCGTCAGCCGCGTCGCCTTCAGCCGCCGCGTCCTCCGCCGTGCCGTCCAGCCCCGCCAGCCCCGCCAGTTCCGCCAGTTCCGCCAGTTCCGCCAGTTCCGCCAGGCGCGTGCCGTTCTCCCCCGTTCCCCGCGTGGCCGCGATTGGCGGCGACGTGGACGTGCGCGGCGCGGCGTTCCGACTGCGAGAGAAAGCGATGGAGAGATTGCTCGGCGAGCTGCGACAGGCGACGGACACGGTACGTCGCACAGCAGTCAGGCGACACGCACTGTACGTCGCACACACATAGCTGCGAAGGGCAGGGGAGGGTGGGCGTGGCGGGGGCGGGCAGTTGGGCGGAGGTGGGACGAGGGATGCAGGCGGGTCGTGGTGGTGGAGTGAGGCTGACTTAGATAGACTGAGTGATAGCGCCACTGAATCTCCGAGTCACCGCCCTCCCTCACTCTCATGCCACGCCCATGCCACGCCCCTGCACCCTGCCTGCTGCCCCACCCGGCCGCCCACCAGGTGCTGCAGGGGGGTGGTCCCAAGGCGGTGCAGCGGCAGCACAGCCGCGGCAAGCTACTGCCCCGCGAGAGAATCGACCGCCTGCTCGACCCCGCCTCGCCCTTCCTCGAACTCTCCCAGGTCCCCACCTCCCTCCCCCTCGCCCTCTCCCCGCCCTCTTTTCGCACATAGAACCCCATCCCTCCTCTGTCCGCCAGTTCACCTCTTCAACCCATTAGCCTCACTCCCTTATTCTCACCTTCCCCCCTCTGCCATGATGCCATCGCCACCCCCACCTCCCCATCTGCCATGATGCCATCGCCATCCCCATCTCCCATCTTTCCTCCTCAACACCCCCACCTCCCTGCCTCTCTCCCTCCCTCCCACCGCTCCCCACCTTCCCCCCCACTTTCTCCGCCCATGACGCGCCAGCTGGCGGGCATGGGGGTGTATGGGGAGGAGGAGGTGCCGGGGGGGGGCATCGTGACGGGGCTAGGGCGGGTGGGCGGGCGGGTGAGTGTGATAGTGGCGAACGACGCTACAGTGAAGGGCGGCACGTACTACCCCATCACAGTGAAGAAGCACCTCAGGGCGCAGGAGATCGCTGCTCAGTGCCGCCTGCCCTGCATCTACCTCGTTGACAGGTACAGCCTGCCCTGCATCTACCTCGTTGACAACCTGCGCTGAGTTTAGCAAATCGTTTCGAGTTCACCCACTCACGCAACTTACGCCATTTATGGTGAAACATATGTAAAAAATTGCTGTAAATCGTTATCGTATATTTCACCAACAAAGGTCCACCATTGTTTTCTTAAAGCCACCCTCATCCCACCCATCCTGCTCATCCCTGTCACCCCGCCCATCCCGCTCACCCCACCTATTCCCAGCGGGGGTGCCAACCTGCCACGGCAGGCGGACGTGTTTCCCGACCGCGACCACTTCGGCGCATCTTCTTCAACCAGGTAAGCCCCGCCCCCCCCTCCCTCCCTCATGTACTGCTCACGCTCACTCGTACCACACAGCGCTTATAATGCACGTGTAGGCTGTAGTCTCTCCTTCTCCCTTCAACCCCATCTCGCCCCAAACATCACCTGCTTTCTTCTCGCTCATTCTTCCAACGTCCTCCCCTTCCTCTCCCCAATCATCTCTTGTTCCATCCTCACTCATTTGCCCAACCATCTCCTTTCCCAACCCTCCCCCCTCCCTTACTCCCCCCCCAGGCGCGCATGTCACTGGATGGCATACCGCAGATCGCAGTAGTGATGGGGAGCTGCACGGCGGGGGGGGCGTACGTGCCGGCCATGGCGGACGAGAGCATCATCGTGCACCGCCAGGGCACCATCTTCCTCGGAGGACCGCCACTTGTCAAGGGGTGCCTGTGCCGTACTTGCTTAGTCTGCCCAACAACTAACAAAGTATCAACGACAGTGAAGCCAGTTTCCAAGAGTCAAAGCAGTTGTGCTTATCCGGTATAAATACAAGAATGCAGAGTTCTGGTGCATTATGGCAAGCAGGAGGAGAGTGTGTGAGGGTAGTCAGACGGCGAGGTGCTGAAGGAAGACGGAAGGTCTGCTTGGCCTGACTGCACCCCCACTGGCATCATGAGATTTCCCTGTTGCTGTGTGCTCATATGTGCACGTGTGTCTGTCTGTGTGCTTGCATGCATGTGTGCGTGAGTGTGCACTATCTATGGCAGGCGGCCACAGGAGAGGAGGTGACAGCAGAGGCGCTGGGGGGAGGGGCGGTGCACAGCCGGGTGTCAGGGGTGACCGACCACCTCGCCTGTGGTGAGTGAGAGCTGCTTGAGCACAGACGAGCATGCAGGGCGGGGAGATGGCAGGCAGGCGATCAGGGCAGGCAGGGGTGATGGCAGGGGGGTTGATGGCTGGGGAGGTGGGCACGCGCATGCTGACAGAAAGCTGCACATCACCCGCACATGCCGCCATTTCACATGCACACTCCCATGCCTCACTCCACTCCACAGACCTGTAATTTGGTATCCATCCACCCCCTCCCTCTCCCCTTCCCGCAGACGAGCTGCACGCCATGACCATCGCCAGGCGCATTCTCGCCTCACTGCCCTCCCCCCACCCCGCCTCCTCCTCCGCCTCTCCCGCCCTCCCACCGCTCCCCTCGCCCCTGTCCCCCCGTGCGTGGGAGGAGCCGCTCTTCCCTGCGGAGCAGCTGAGGGGGCTGGCGCCCATAGTGGGGGGGGAGGGGCGCAAGGGTGAGGGCGAGGGGGGGGAGGAGGAGGGGGCGGCGGAGGCAAGGGGGGTGGACATGCGGGAGGTGATAGCGCGGATCGTGGATGACAGCCATTTCGATGAGTTCAAGCGCCTCTATGGCTCCGTGGGTCCATGCTTGCTTTGCTCGCACTGTGCTGTTGCATTGGCATACCTGTGCCCATGGAAACCATCCTCCAAATGTTTAATGCTTGATGAGAAACATCCCCAGGACGGTTGCATTGGTTCTCCAAATGTTTCTTTTCAAATTAACGGGTCTCCAACCCCCCTCCCCACCCTCCCCTCCGGTCCCTCCCGTTTTTCCCCTGGGGCGGGCGGCAGTCACTGGTGTGTGGGTTTGCGCGCGTGCATGGTCGGGAGGTGGGCGTGGTGGCGAACAACGGAGTGTTGGTGGTGGACGCGGCTCTCAAGGGCGCGCACTTGGTGCAGCTGTGTGACCAACGGCGCGTGCCCCTGCTCTTCCTGCACAACATCTCCGGCTTCATGGTGAGCCGTGGTGCAACCCCCCTCCCAACCCCGAGGTGGGCAGGGAGGTGGGAGTGGTGGCGAACAACGGGGTTCTGGTGGTGGACGCGGCTCTCAAGGGCGCGCACTTCGTGCAGCTCTGCGACCACCGCCGCACCCCGCTGCTCTTCCTGCATAACATCTGGTGAGCCGTGAAGGCTTTCATGTCATACCTCATGGCACATACCCTAGATCACATGGCACACTGAACAGATCATGCTTTGAGTCCACATGGCATGTGAGTCCGTGTGGCATGTGATGCCACGTGGCATGTGCCAATGCCTCATGTCTCTCCTACATGAATCCATTTGCTCCTCTGTGTGTGCAGGTGGGGCGGGCAGCAGAGAGTGCGGGCATAGCCAAGGCAGGGGCCAAGATGGTCATGGCTGTTGCATGTGCACAGGTACGCCCATCCCAATGCCATGTGCCATGTATGCTTTTGTCGTCTGCATCAGTGCTTCCCACCAGTGATTAGGAGAGCCGCCTCGGAGCGCCCCCCACATCTGCCCCCCACGCCCCGTTGCACCATATGCCTGCCTCCCTCCCATGTGCCTTGCTCCCATTTCTCTCCTCTCCTCTCATCTGCTCCCCTCCATCTGCCCTATCCCACCCGCGCCCACCGTGCGCAGGTGCCCAAGATATCGCTGGTGGTGGGCGGCAGCTTTGGGGCGGGCAACTACGGCATGTGTGGCCGCGCCTACTCGCCCAACTTCCTCTTCCTCTGGCCCTCCGCGCGCATCTCAGTCATGGGCGGCCAACAGGTGAGTCTGGGCGGCCAACAGGTGAGTCTGGGCGGCCAACAGGTGAGACTGGGCGGCCAACAGGTGAGTCTGGGCGGCCAACAGGTGAGACTGGGCGGCCAGCAGGTGAGTCTGGGCGGCCAACAGGTGAGTCTGGGCGGCCAACAGGTGAGGATGGGCGGGCAACAGGTGAGTCAGGGGGGGCCGGTGAGTTTGGGCGGCCAGCAGGTGAAACAACTTGTGGTGGCAAGGCAAGATGTTATTGCCATTTGCCTCTGTTGCTCCATTGACTGTGCGTCTCACCACCTTCTCAAACACCTTTCCCCCAAACAAACATTCCCTGGATTTCCCCGTGGCCTTTGTGCTTTTCTTTCCCTTGGGTTGGCGTGGCATTTATGGAATGATACAATGGCAGGCGGCAGGGGTGTTGGCGCAAGTGGAGGACAAGCGAGCCCGTGATGGCACTCCGGTGAGACCCACCACCTCCGCTCCTCCTCCCATGCCCCCATGCACTCATGCACCCATGCACCCATGTACCCATGCACCCATGCACCCATGCACCCATGCTCCCATGCACCCATGCACCCATGCTCCCATGCCCCCATGCTCCCATGCCCACTTCCTTCCATGCCATGGGACCAAACTCATGATTCACCCACACTCTCACAACTCGGTCTGACATACCCTCTGCTGGCTGTGCCCTCTGCCCTCTCTCCCTTATACCGTGCACCACAGTGGGGCGAGGAGGAGCAGAGGGAGTTCAAGCAGGGCATAGAGCAGCGGTACGACAGTGAGGGATCAGCGTTCTTCTCCACGGCGCGGCTGTGGGACGACGGCATCATCGACCCCGCCCACTCCCGCACCGTGCTTGCTCTCGCCCTCGCTGCCACTGAAGCCGGCATGCCCGCTGCACACGCGCCTGCGGAGACTGGTCCCAGATATGGAGTGTTTCGCATGTGATGTGATGCGATGTGCACATGGGTGCTCACGGCGTGGTGGCAAGTGGCTTGCTGCTTTGTTGTCTTCGAGCGTGCTTTTGAAGGTGATGCGGATTGGTGTGGCTCAGTAGCGAGGTTGCCACAGCTGGGTGTACCCTGTTACAGTGTGTATGATTCAGAACCTTGTGTATATAGGTATGTATCTGTGTATATAGTGTTTATGATAATCTTTACTGTGTCCATACAGGAACCCAGCCTGCTCCAACAACAAGACATCCATCGTATAAACAACACATAACGGCAACATCAGCCTACATACTCTACAATTCAGTACAACATATATTCAAGCAGGGCATAGAGCAGCGGTACGACAGCGAGGGCGCAGCTTTCTTTCTCCACGGCACTGCTGTGGGACGACGGCATCATCGACCCCGCTCACTCCCGCACCGTGCTCTCCCTCGCCGTCGCCGTCACTGAAGCCGGCATGCCCGCTGCCCACGCCCCTGCCGACGCTGGTCCCAGATATGGAGTGTTTCGCATGTGATGCGTGGATGGCAGCACATGTGTCAGAATCAAGAGACAGGAATGAATGAACCATGACAGAGTTGGGTACAAGTATGAAACCCTAAAAGGGGCTGTACCCCATATTGGCTACCCCACTACAGCCTACACATGTATAACAAGCATATGCTTTGACACACCCCCATAGGCAAAGTGGGGGAGAGCAAGAGAAGCAAAGCAAGCTCAGGGTGGATCACAACGTCACCACACACACTGAGCACAAGCAAAGGGCCACAAGGCCAGTTCACATGAAAGGGTATATATGCAACAACAACAGCACAGTGATCTCTACCTAGCAGAGCAAGCATGCAGGTATATATATAGATCACAGTACAAGCAAAGTCTACAGCAAGGGAGGAAACGTGGGCACAAGGCCTAACAGAGTGCAGAAACGCTGATGATCACCAGACGGAAGCGCCTTGGTGAATATATCAGCAGTGTTGGCCCGAGTGGCCACGTGAGCAAGACGAAGCTGACCACGCTGCTGCAACTCTCGAGCCAGGAAGTAACGCAGAGCGATGTGCTTCGTTCTGTGCTCCAGTCTGTGCTCCTGACACAAGGCAATGGCGGCCTTGTTGTCGACGTACAGCACTGGAGGAGAACGAGGCCGCTCTCCCAAGTCGGTCAGCAGGTAGGTGAGCCAGCGTAACTCCTGTGCAGCCATGGCTGTGGCGTAGATCTCAGCCTCACAACTGGAGCTGAGAACTGAAGACGAGCGTGTAGAACGCCAAGAAACCGAACCAGAGCCAAGGCTGAAGGTGTAACCCTGTGACGACCGCTGCGTAGTCTGGTCGTCAACCCAAGAAGCGTCTGAGTGCCCAGTGAGGACAACGTCGCTCCGTCCTCCAAGCACGAGCCTCATGCCCGATGTACTGCACAAGTAGCGTAGTACTCTCTTAGCAGCATCCATGTGCACCTTTTCGGTGCCGACCAGGAGCCACGTAGCGAGCCAGAAGGCCAAGAGGGTACGCAAGGTCAGGACGAGTGCAGGTCATCAGGTACATGAGGCAGCCCACTAGCTCTGGGTAAGGACCACTCGGCTCTACGGACTCGTCCGAAGGTGGAGCTGAGAGCGAGTGACCTGTAGCCAGAGGAGTGTGCTGTGCCGAGGACCAGGTGAAGCCGAAGCGCTGAAGGACCTACTGCACCATGTGTGACTGAGTCAGTGTGATGGTGCGGCGTGCTCTGTCCCGGGTGATCCGCAAGCCAAGATAGCTTGTCAGCTCACCCAGGTCTGTGCACGTGTGTCTCTTCTGCAGCTCCGACTTCACCAGGGCGAGAGCCTCAGTGTCAGCAGTGGCAAAGACCAAGTCGTCGACGTACACGAGGATGTAGAACGGCGGCAGCGAAGTGTCGGTGCGCAGAAACAGCGACGGGTCAGCAGTCGACGGAGCAAACCCAAGAGCCGCAAGTGTCGTCCTCAGTGTGTCGTGCCACTCACGTGGCGCCTGGCGGAGACCGTAGACCGGCCGCCGGAGGCTCCACTGGGTACCAGAAGGGAACGAACCAGTGAAGCCAGGTGGGCGGCGCAGCCAGATCTCCTCGTGCAGGCTGCCCTGTAAGAAGGTTGTGCTGAAGTCAAGAGAGTGAAGCTCGTAGTCACGCTGAGCGGCAACGTGCAGCAGCACCCGAAGAGTGGTCATCTTCGGGGTGGGGGAGAAGGTCTGGAAGAAGTCAACTCCCTCTCGCTGACTGAAGCCTCGTGCAACGTAACGCGCCTTGAAGGCAGGCGGAGAACCTGGCGGCCGCTTCACCCTGAAAATCCACATGCCACTGACGATGTTCGCCCCAGGTGGGGGAACCTCGTCGACGTAGGTGCCTGTGGACTTCCAGGATGCCATCTGTGCGTCCATGGCTGTCTGCCACTGAGAGGAGTACTCACCCGCGATCGCCTCAGCGTAAGAGCGCGGGGTCGGGATGTCTGGAGCATCCGGGTCTCCCTCAGGGGCAAGCAGCATGGACACGAGATGAGGCGCAGCGGCTGCAAGATACTCAAGGTCCTCCTGCCTGTCCTCAAGGACGTCCGTGCCAAGAGCACACTCACCCCCGACGGACGGAGGACAGACAGACTCAGACTCAGTAACAAGACTAGCGGCGTAGTCTAGACGACAGGCAGCAGCAAAGTCAACAAGCTCAGCAACTAAGGCAGACGTAGCAGCTGACTCAAACGACGGGTCAGTGACAACAGTGGCTAGCAGACGCGTGACAGTAGGGTGCTCAGCACGAAACCGGTCAGACTCGGGGTCCGCAACGACAGGCAGAGAAGACGCAGGAGGGGACGGCAGAGGAACACGCTGTGGAGGAGAGGAAGGACGACGGACTACGAGGTGGGTGTCGGGGACAGCCGGCAGACGCGGACGAGGAACACGACGACCGGAACGACCAGAACAGACAGGCGAGACAGGACGCGACGCAGGCTCACGACGCTCAGTAAGACTCCCTAGCTGCTCAGTGTAAGGAGAAGGAGCAGGCAGCGGTGAACCAGGCTGCAATGGAAGACCAGTAGACGAAGGGAGACTAAGAACCTGGCGAAGCACAGAGTCAGGCGGTGGCTGAGACGACGGAGACGGTGGAGCGAAGAACAGGCGCGGCTGTGCAGTGACACCAGCACCAGCAGCTCCAGTACCCCCAGCAGCTCCAGCACCTCCAGCAGCTCCAGAACCTCCAGCGCCAGCACCCTCAGCAGCTCCAGAACCTCCAGCTCCAGCGCCACCAGCGCCAGTACCTCCAGCAGCTACAGAACCTCCAGCGCCAGCACCCTCAGCAGCTCCAGAACCTCCAGCTCCAGCGCCACCAGCGCCAGTACCTCCAGCAGCTACAGAACCTCCAGCGCCAGCACCCTCAGGAGCTCCAGAACCTCCAGCTCCAGGGCCACCTGCGCCAGCACCTCCAGCAGCTCCAGAACCCTCAGCGCCAGCTCCTCCAGGACCAGCTCCACCAAGAGCAGCACCCCCAGAACCGGCACCTCCAGTCCCAAGGTCTCCAGCCTCAGTGCCTCCAGCAGTAGCACCCTCAGACTCAGCACCTCCAGCCCCAGCAGCTCCAGTACCTCCAGTACGAGCACCTCCGGGACCAGCACCACTCCCAGCTCCAGTGACGACAGCAGAAGTACCTCCAGCGGCAGAGCCCCGAGCTCCAGAAGCGCGACCCTGACGGCGACCGTACCAGTCGTGCAGCTGCTGCGAGGTGAGAGGCACACGCGGACGAAGGCGGCTACTCCAAGGAAGCCGCGTAACAGCAGACTCAGAACCCTCAGCGCCAGAACCTGCAGCAGCTCCAGAACCTCCAGCGCCAGCACCCTCAGCAGCTCCAGAACCTCCAGCTCCAGCGCCCTCAGCAGCTCCAGAACCTCCAGCAGAAACAACTCCAGTGGCAGAGTCACCAGCTCCAGAGCCTCCCGCAGCAGGGCCCCTAGCTCCAGCAGCGCGACCCTGACGGCCAGCGTACCACTCAAGCAGCTGCTGTGGGGAGAGAGGGAGTCGACGACGAGAGTGCAGCGGCGAGGCACCAGCGGAGCGACTACGGAGACGGCCGCTCCCGAGAGACTGCTCACCAGACGCCTCAGCGCCCCCAGGCTCAGCACCCCCAGACTCCTCACACCCAGGCTCAGCACCTCCAGTCTCCGCACCCCCAGGCTCCTCACCCCCAGGCTCAGCACCCCCAGGCTCAGCACCCCCAGGCTCAGCACCCCCAGGCTCCGCACCCCCAGGCTCAGCACCCCCAGCAGCAGCACCACCCTCAGCAGGACCTGAGTCACCAGTGACCTCAACCTGAGGAGGAGGGTCTACCTGAGACACACCTGAAGGAGCAGGACCGGGAGCGGGGAGGGGGTCTACCTGGGGAGGACCTGGAGCGAGGAAGAGCGGCGGGGGGGGGAGAGGGGCAGTGCGGTAGGGGAAGAGACGGTAAAAGGGAACCGACTCGTCGAACGTGACGTCCTGAGAGGGTAAGACACGGCGCGAGGTGGGGTGGTAAAACTGCCAACCAGGCGCGTCAGGGACGAAGCCAAGGAAGACACAGGGAACAGCGCGGGCGGAGAGCTTGTCCGCAGTAGTATCGCGGACAAAGGCACGAGCACCCCAGACCCGGAAACGCGACGCATCGCCAACCTTCCCCGTCCACAGCAGTGTGGGCGAGGTCTCCGGCAAGGAGACACGGGGCCAGAGGTTGAGCTGATGCGCGGCGTACCGGACCGCAAACGGCCACAGAAAATGGGGGGCAGCCGCATGGATCATGGAGGTACGAGCGACCTCCATGACTAAGCCAATGCGGCGCTCAGCAACCCCATTCTGCTGCGGAGAGGCCGGAAGCGTGAACGACTGGCGGATGCCGTGCTCCGCACAGTAGGCTGCCAAGAGGTCTGAGGAGAACTCACCACCTCTGTCAGAGTGCAGACGCAGGACAGGAAAGTCCGAGTGGAACCGCTCGCGGAGCTGGAGACGAGCAGCGCGGATCCAGGGGATCAAAACATCAGGGACCTCCCCCTTGCTGCGCAAGGGGAAGACCGTGGTGTAACGCGTGTAGTCGTCGACGACCAGCAGGAAGTACCGCTCGCGGCCCTGTCCACGGACGCGGGCTGGGCCCCACACGTCCAGGTGGAGAGTCTGCAAGGGAGCCTCTGTGGGAGGGAACGAGGAGGAGTGAGGAGCGGCGCGCTGCCGCCCCTCGACACAGGGAAGACAGGGAGGAGCAGGCGAGGGCGGTAGAGGAGGCAGAGTCTCTGGAAGTCCAGAGACAAGGAAACGGCGGTGCATGCTACGAAGGCGCTGCACCGAGGGGTGACCAAGGCGGTGGTGCCACAGGACGGTCTGGTGCGACAAAGCGCGACACGAGCAGGGGGCCGCTAGCTGACCTGACGCAAACGCAGACGCAGACGCAGCTACCTGAGGGGACACAGTGGTCAGTGTGTACAGACTCGAGCCAGGCTCTCGGGTGAACGTGGCCAGGTGCCGACCAGTCCGGGAGCACGTACAGTGGGTCACACGCTGACCTCCAGGGGTGAACTGGTCAACCCACACATCCTGTAGGTCAGCTCCACTCACCAAGTTCGTAGAGAACGAGGGGAGGTGAAGACATGACAGGGAGCCAGACGGGACCGCAGGACACGGCAAGACCGTGGAGGAGTGCGCAAGGACTGGACCCCCAGAGGGGTCTGCCAGGGAGACTGCAACCGGCCGACGGAGCGGCGTGAGTGTGGTGCTGTCGCGAAAGAAGGAGCGGGAAGCACCTGAGTCAAGTGTGAAGGTGTACACTGCCTCAGCAGGCGCAGTACCAGAGAGAGCAGACTCACCAGCACCTGGAGCAGCAGCCTCACCAGTACCTAGAGCAGGAGACGCACTAGCACCTAGAGCAGCAGCCTCACCAGCACCTAGCGCAGGAGACGCACTAGCACCTAGAGCAGCAGCCTCTATACCTGGGTCAGGCGGTACGCACAGGGAACAGGCACGGTCATCACTAGTAGGCAACGCATACATGGTAGTGAGAATAGCATCATAGTCAAGAGCAAAGATATCTACCCCCTGCCCAAGCAGCTCCAGCCAGGTGGGGAGCTCAGCCTCGTCACCAAACTCGGTGCGCCAGTCGTCGCTCAGACGGGCGAAGCAGCGGGACTGGGTGTGACAAAATGTCCCGCAAGCCTGACCAGTCCGATCACCTGTGCGTGGGACGTACGGGCATCGAACGGTACTCCGAGACCCTCGACTCTGAGCGTACCACTCGTGAAGCTGCCGGGACGTAAGTGTCTCACGCGGACGTCGCTGCAGCTGCAGCTGGCCACTGCCAGACGCTCCCGACCGACCAGCTCCAGGGCGACAGTCACGACGGCTACCGCCACAACCCCAACTAGCGTACCACTCACGAAGCTGCTGAGGCGTGAGAGACTCGCGCGGGCGTCGCTGGGGCTGCATCTGGCCACCGCCAATAGCAACAGTAGCAACAGTAGCAGCAGCAGCTCGGGCAGGGCAGGCGCGGCAGGAGCGGCAGGCAGGCAGGCAGGTAGACAGGCAGGCAGAGGGCGCTGCAGTGCGCGAACAAGGCAGGTGCTCACCAGTGGCGGGCAGGGCCGGCGTTCGGCGGGCGGCGGCAGGGTAGGCGCACGACGGCGGCGACGGCGGGGCCGCAGCAGCAGCTGCAGAGTAGGGCCGCGGCAGCTGCAGGGCGGGGCCGCGTCAGCTGTAGGGCGGGGCCGCGGCAGCGGCAGGTCGGGGCCGCGTCCGCTGCAGGGCGGGGCCGTGTCAGCGGCAGGTCGGGGCCGCGTCAGCTGCAGGGCTGGCGGGGCCGCGTCAGCGTCCGGGCGGGGCCGTGTCGGCGGCAGGGCGCGGCCGCGTCAGAAGCAGTGCGCGGCCGCGTCAGAGGCAAGGGGTCGCGGCGCGCGGGGCTGCAGTGCGACGCGCGGGCAGCGTTCGCGGCGCGCGGGGCTGCAGCGCGACGCGCGGGCAGCGCGCGCGGCGCGCGGGGCTGCAGCGCGACGCGCGAGCAGCGGTCGCGGCGCGCGGGGCTGCAGCGCGACGCGCGGGCAGCTGTCGCGGCGCGCGGGGCTGCAGCGCGACGCGCGGGCAGCTGTCGCGACGCGCGGGGCTGCAACGCGCCGCGCGGGCTGCAGACGCGGCGCGCGAAGTAGCAGCGAGCCGCGCGTGGGCTGCCGAGGCGCGACTCGGGCAGGGTGGGCGACTCGTGGGGCAAAAAAAGAGCCGCGCGCAGGAATTAGGTCTGCGCGCTCTAAGCAGCAGCAGATCGCACAGTCAGCAGACAGTAGGCAGCAGGCAGACGGCGCGCGCAGCGCAGCACGTCACAGGCACAGTCAGTCACAGTCACAGTCGTGGGGTAGCGGTAGGTGGGCCCGAAAAAAAAAAACGGTCCTACGGACCTACTGCTCTGAAACCATGTCAGAATCAAGAGACAGGAATGAATGAACTATGACAGAGTTGGGTACAAGTATGAAACCCTAAAAGGGGCTGTACCCCATATTGGCTGCCCCACTGCAGCCTACACATGTATAACAAGCATATGCTTTGACAACATGTTGTGGTGACACGTGGCTTGTTGCAGTCTTACCATACCGTATCTCTTAGTGTGCTTTTAAAGGTTGGGGTACCCGTACCTAAAACAACTGCAACACAACAACCTGCTGTATAAGAACTTATTACGGTACTTTACAAAACTGATGAAAAGAGTGGTTATCGTTAGATACCCTTTAGAAAAAGTGAAACAAGGATGCTGGTCTTATGGAGAGCAGCTCAATTCCTATCCAAAGGCCTGGACCTAGTGCTCCTGCTGCACTGCATCTATAGTTCAGTGCTAAATAGGCCACATCTAAGGATTGGGCAAACTCAGCGCCCTTTGGTTGAGTCCGATTGCAGCCAACTCAAGAGGCCATCACCCATCGAGCCAAGCATGAATGAGGTCACACCAGACTGTGAGCCATCAGACCCCTCCAGCTCCCTCCCACCATCTCCAAACGACACAGTAGAAACATCCCTTGAAGACACACACTCGTTGCTTGCGCTCTCTTTTCTCGAAACACTTTCCCACTCGTCCTCCTTGTCGGGGCAGTGCTTGGCAATAAGGGCACTGAGGCGGTATGCCACATCCTTCATGGTGGGTCGCCGTGTGCCGGGAGACTTGATGCAGTCCAGAGCCAGGTCTGCAAAGTCCACTATGGCCTCCTCAGTGACCACTGGCATGTTGCTGTCCCTCAGCTCCTCTAGCTCATATGCCTCCACCATCTTCATTGCCTGGCAGGCATCCATACAAGGAAAGGATCATGCATGGGAGAGGCGGTGAAAAGCAGCATGATAAGCAGGAAATGTGGTGCAAGGCCTCATGACAGCAAGGAAAGGTTGTGATATCCAGAATGAATGGGAATTCAGGAAAAACGTGCAGCCATGAAAAAAAATGAAAAGACAGATTTGAGATGTGATGGGCACAAACATTTTCTGATATGCAACATTCGTATTTGCGCCAACTGGAACCTTGGATTTCATACTTGACGATCGTACCCATATGCTTATATGCGTTTTTGTGTTAGCGTCAACTTGGATTGATTTTCCACTCAGCAACTGAAGAAGCACGATTCCAAAGCTGCAAGCAATCATGCATTGGAGATAGATGAATAAACTTGGAAAAAAAAAAGAGAGAGGTACAGGGTACAAGTATTCAACATCAAGCAGGAAGATCAGAAAACAAGTGAGATGCACAAGTTCATGGCATTGTGCAAAGGAACGAGCATGCATGCGAACCTGAACACATCGCTCTTGGCAGTGATAACGTTGGTGCGGTTGTAGTCCGGGTCCACATAGCCCGGAGTGCCGGCCACTCGCGTGGCATCAGCATCGCCGTGAGTGAGGCGCTTGAGCAGCCCAAAGTCAGCCACCTTAGCGTGCATGTCGGCAGTCACCAGGATGTTTGCCGGCTTGATGTCGCGGTGAACGATGGTTGTGTCAAACCCATGCAGGTACGCCAGGCCCTCTGCTGTTCCCTGCGCTAGGCGCAGCCTCTGGCGCAAAGAGAGCGGACCTGGGTCAGGAAACACGTATATGGAGCAGAACGTGCAGTTTATGAGAGACGGTGTCATGCTCTGTGCCGGAATGAATTATATATATAGAACGACTGGCAACCACTGAGCAATCGTGCGCCAGTGCAACTCACGCGTGCAGAAAAAAGCATACGAATGGCAACCATTTCGCCATCGTGCCAGTGCAACTCACGACAGAGCAACTCACGCTTGGTTGCATGGATATGGTATTGGAGGTCCCTGTTGCCTATGAACTCGTACACGAGGATCTGCTCCTGCTTTCCCGTCTCCACGTTCTGGTCCAGGCAGAAGCCCAGCAGGCGCACGAGATGCACGTGGTGGAGAGGCGTGGAACACAATGCAGGCAGATGCAGCAGAGGGAAACGGAAAGACGAGCACAGAATCTGCAGGTCAATATTTTGGACAGCAGAGTACAGTTACATTTCTGTGCTCTGTGGGCGGAAAGCAGGGAGTAGAGGAATGCGAGACCTCTGTTTCGAAGTTATGGTGGTGTCTCACCTCCGTTTCAACGTTATGATAATGTCTCACCTCCGTTTCAAAGTCGTTAGTCATGATGGTGGCGCGCTTGATGGCCCACAGCTGGCCCTGTGACGAGCTGCCTTTGTAGACAACGCCAAAGCCACCCTTGCCCAACACATTGTCTTCCGACCAGTTGTTAGTGGCCTTGAGCATCTGCTGCAGCGAGAACTGCTCACACACGTCCAACCCCTCCCACTTCTCTGTGCTCACAGCAGGACAAGGGGAGCGAGCGACCAAGAAGAACGAGTGACCAAGTGTGTGGATGAGTGGAGAGAGCACGAGGGTAGTGGAAAGGCAGAGTTGTAAAGCAGGAAAAACGGCAGGGAAATTGAGCAGAGAATGAGGCCAGGAAGCAGGTACAGCATCAGGGGAGACGGAAAGGAGATGAAGAAGGGTGGAGTGGAGGGGCTCACTTGGTCCGCGGGGCCACAGCAACCATGCGATCATAGCTGCCAGCAGCGTGAAGCCAGCAAAGCAGCCCAGAACGATGCCCACTATGGCACCCGTGGACAGAGAGGCCACTGCCAAGGCATGGGGGGTCAAGGGAAACGGGGCGATGGTTAGCGCGGGAGCTGTAGAGGCACGGAAAAGAGTGATAATATATGGGTAACAAAACGTTCATGACATGGTTATGGGGGGAAGGTGGGGGGACGAGGGGGCGAAGGGGGGGAGGGACGAGCGGGGGAAGGGGGGGGTTGAGTTGAGGGGGGAAGGCGGGGGGAAGGGGGGGGGAAGGGGGGGAAAGAGGGGGATTGTGGGGGGAAGGGGGGGAGGGAGGGGGGGGAAGTGGGTGGGAAGGGGAGGGAAGGGGGGGTAAGAGGGGGGGAAGAGGAGGGGAAGGCGGGGGGGGGGAACGGGGGGAAAATAAGGGGGAGTGGGGGGGAAGAGGGGGGGAAGTGGGGGGGGAAGAAGGGGGGAAGGGGGGGAAGAGGGGGGGAAAGGGGGAGGAAGAGGGGGTAAAGGGGGAAAGAGGGGGGGAATGGGGGGATGGGGGGTGGAAGGGGGGGATGAGAGGGGGAAGTGAAAAGGGGGGGAATGGGGGGGAAAGGTGGGGGGAAGAGGGGAAGCGGGGGGAAGACGTGGGGAAGGGGGGGAGAGGAGGGGAAGTGGGGTAAGAGGGGGGGAAGTGGAGTAAGAGGGGGGGAAGTGGAGTAGGAGGGGGGGAAGTGGAGTAAGAGGGGGGAAAGGGGGGGGAGAAGGGGAAGTGGGGGTAAGTGGGGGGGAAAGGGGGGGAAGAGGGGGGAAAGAGGGGAGAAAGGGGGGGAAAGAGGGGGAGAGAAGGGGGGGATGGTGTGAGATCGAGGGAGAAGGGAAGTAGGGTGAGACAAGGCGGGGTAATGTCGTTGAGAAGTAGAGAGAGAGGGAGATGGAGTGGGAGTGGGAGATGGTGGAGAAGGCAGCAAAGAAGGCAGCAAAGCGGGTTGGGTAGACACTGGAAGGCGCAGCAGCTCAAGCCACTGATTCAACATACCGGAAGGGGATGGCAGTTGGCACGTGGTGGTGTTGGCAGTGCCGGCAGCAGTGACAGCAACGTAACCACTGGCGCAGGAGCAGGAGAGGGACGGCGGCCAACCGCTCTGCACCACACACTGCCCCGCACCCACACCCCCACACGGACCCTGCCCTGACTCTATCCCACACACCGCCGCACACTCTGTCGCCCCCCGCTGCTGCCCCACAACCTCACTCCCCACACAGTTGCCCTCCACAGCCAGCCATGCCACTGAGCTGCTGCTATTGCCCCCGCCCTCCCCTCCTGCTCCAGTTCCCCCCTGCTGCCCCCCTTGCGCCACACACACGCACTGAGGGTTCGTTGCATCCTGGAATGCCCAGGGGGGGAGGGACTGGGGTTGGGGGGTCGCTGGGAGGACGAGAGAGGGGATGCGGGGCGAGGAGGAGGAGGAAGAGAGGGTGACGTTGGGGGAGGGGGAGGAGCCGTAGAGGTAGTTGGCGCTGAGGTCCAGGCTGATGGGTGGCATGTTTTGGAAGGTTGCAGCATCCATGAAGAGCAGATTATTGCTGACGTCACTGGTAGTAGACAGGTGCAGAGTAAGGGGAAGCAGGGGTGAAGGGGGAGAGGAGAGGTGAGGAGCGGAGAGGTCAGGAGCGGAGATGGCCTCAAAGGTAAGGAAGCGGCATTGGCAGCACGATTGGAGGTCGAAGGTCACAAACGAGAGTGCGACAAGAGGAGCAGCGGAGAGAAAGAGAAACGAGAACAACGTCAGGGTGATGAGTGGAGGGGGCAAAACTGAAGGGCGAAGGGTAAAGGTTGAAGGGAGGTTGAAGGGCGAAGGGTGAAGGGGCGAATGGACATGAGTTGGATGGAGGAGACGAAGGGCAGGCACTGAGGGAGGGCCCCCCAGAAGGCGTTGCTGCTTAGAAGCCTGGAGTGGAAAGGGCGGTCAGGTGGAAGGGGGGGCAGGTGGGACATGGGAAGGTGAGCACATGGGAAGGTGGGCACATGGGAAGGTGGGCACATGGGAAGGTGGGCACATGGGAAGGTGGGCACATGGGAAGGTGTGCACATGGGAAGGTGGGCACATGGGAAGGTGGGCACATGGGAAGGTGGGCACATGGGAAGGTGGGCACATGGGAAGGTGGGCACATGGGAAGGTGTGCACATGGGAAGGTGGGCACATGGGAAGGTGGGCACATGGGAAGGTGTGCACATGGGAAGGTGGGCACATGGGAAGGTGGGCACATGGGAAGGTGTGCACATGGGAAGGTGGGCGGGTGGGAAGGTGGGCAGGTGGGAAGGTGGGCAGGTGGAGACATAGGGCAAAAGAGGCAATGGGAGAACGGGGAGAGGGTGAGGGGAGCGAGGAGGTGAGGACGCAAGCAAGATGGATGGTGTGGGTAGATGACAGCACCCAAAAGGATGGCAATAGGGAGGAGGCAACTAGCGCAGGGTGGAAGTGCAACGCACTGGCGCCTGTGCAATGCATTCTCACCAGTGCAAGCCTTTGCTTGCACGATAAAGGGCATCTCTGTTAGAACTTGAGCTTTGAATTGATACATTAGTAATGAGCTTGGTATGGATTGGGAGGAAATCGGGGGCAATCCCTAGGGATTGGGGGTAATCCCAAGGCAATCTCTAATCGGTGGGTTGGAGATTGCTTGGAGATCACATTTGGGTTTGGTTGGGATGTGGGTGTACACCCAACCAAACACAAAGTGCAAACAATCTCCAAGTACAAAAAGTATAAGTACAAAAGGTGAGGTTGGGGGATAACCCTAACAATCTCCACATGGATGACAATGCTTTGATGACAATCCTTTATTGTCACCAGGGCAACTCTACATAAATGCCCACATTCATACCTGCCTGCTTGCTACTGTGCCTGAGAGTAACATAACCTGAATGCTACAACGTGTGAATGCGCATTACACTATCCAAACATTGCATGGTGAGCGCGTTGCATAGTGTGGATGGTGCAGCGAGTGAAAGTTACAGCATGTGGAAGTTACATGATCTGCAGCACGGATTGGCAGAGGTACTCGGGGATGTGGCCAGAGAGCTGGTTGTGGTGCACCGCCCTGCAGGCATGGGCGGACGGGAAGCAGGGGGGGGGGGGCGCGGATGGGAAGCAGGGGGGGGGGGCGGACGGGAAGCAGGGGGGGGGGGCGGACGGGAAGCAGGGGGGGGCGGCGGACGGGAAGCAGGGGGGGGGGCGGATGGGAAGCAGGGGGGGGGGGGGACGGGAAGCAGGGGGGGGGGGCGCGGATGGGAGCAGGGATGGGCGGACGGGAAGCAGGAGGGGAAGGCTGGGCGGGCAGGAAAGCAAGAGGGCGCATGGGGGATGGACGAGAGGCAGGGGGGAGGAATGAGGGGCGGGTGGGCGAGAAGCAGGAGGAGGCATGCGCGATGGCGGGGCAGGGGACGCAGGCCAAGCAAGAAGAGCACGACTCAAAGACAGCACAGGCAGAGAAGCTGGGCTGACGAGAGTAACAGCAACGGCATGTGGTGGCACTCACAGCGTGGCCCCACACTCACAGCATTGCCAGGCGCTTGAGATTGATATGGGGGCTATCCAGCGACCCTGAGAGTGTGTTGAATGAGAGATCGCTGCGGAAATGGGAGTGTGTTGAATGCGTGTCGAGGGAGATATGGGAGAGAGGCATAGATGGGAGTTTAAGGGAGAGAGAGACACATGGGTGGGCGGAAATGGGAGAAGAAAAAGCGACGGTTGAGAGAACACGCACCAGGAAAGGGAGGGTGCAGGAGGGAAAGGGGAGGGAGAGGGAAGGGGATGGAAATTTTTACTCGCAAGATTCAAATGGAATGGTTACCAGGGATCTCGTAGTTTGTGGTTACCAGGGCTTTTGTGGTTACCAGGGCCTTTGTGGTTACCCAGGGCTCTGTGGTTACTTGGGCATACTAACATGATGAGAGCTGGGCTGGCAGCAGCGTTGGGCAGAGGGCCTGAGAGGCGGTTGCGAGACACGTTGCTGGCATGGTGAGTTGTGTGGCATGGGACAGGGGGAGAGAGGGCAAAGGGGCGGAGGTGAGACAACATGATGACCGATGGTGAGGATGAGGGAATCCAAGATGAATGGCTGGTTGCTAGAAGCTGCTGCTCTGATGCCGGAAATTACTCATGGGTGGTATAGGTAGGGAAGTTGACTGACAGGTGGGAGAGCTGTCGCAGGTTGAAGATGGAGGGAGGCAGCGAGCCGGAGAGTAGGTTGATGGCCATGTCCATGGCATGGTGTGGCGTGGCGTGGAGTGGGGAAGAGTAGGGGTAAGACATGGGTGGTTGATGGCCATGTGCCTGCCATGAAATCGCGTGGCGTGGCGTGGTATGGGGATGATGACATGGCGTAGCACGGGCAAGGGTAAGGGCTGGGCATGTGATGGCCTCGTTGTGGGTCATGGGACCATGGGTGGTTGATGTACATACACAATAATGGCATGGGTGAGGACAGTGGGATGGATGCCCATGTGTCTCTGCCATGGTTCTTGGGTGGGTGGCTCATGCTGACATCAGATGCCATGACGTGGCATGCTGACATCAGATGTCATGACGTGACATGCTGACATCAGATATCATGACATGGCATGCTGACATGTCAAGACACGGCATGCTCCACGGGCATACAGGTGGGTCATGGCATACAGGTGGGTCAGGTTGGTCATGCGACCAAAGAAGAGCGGAACAGAGCCATTCAATGCGTTGGCTGAGATGTCACTGCGGAGCATGGTGGGATGGGGGAATATGGCAGGGCATGGGGGGTAAATGACAGAGATTCGGGCGAGATGAAGCGATGGGAGGCGAGGGGATACGAGAATGCGGAGGGCAGGAACGGGAAACACCCATAGTGATACTGCATGGGGAAATAAATGGTGGGGTAAGCTGGTTGCATGCATGTGCCCCCTGCACCGTGCCATGTGTCATGCCCAATGTGCCATGCCCCATGCCTCATGCTCCATGCCCAATGGCCCACGCTCCATGCACCATGTCCCATGCACCATGCCCCATGCCCCATGCCCCATGCCTCATGCCCCATGCCCCATGCCCCATGCCCCATGCCACAAGCCCCACGCCCCTCCCCACACGAGCCTCACACAAGCTCGAGGGAGTGCAGAGGAGAGAGTGCCGGTGTGATGTCTCCTGACAGCTGATTGACACGTTGCTGGGAGGGGGCATGCATGGGTATGGGGTACAGAGAATGAAGCTTAGGGTGCGGTGTGGAGTATGGGGTATAGGTTATTAGATGGTGGTATTTTGCACAAGGCATGGTATATGGCATGCAAGTGGGCATGCCAGTGCGAAGAATCGAGTAAAATTGCATGGCATGACGTGGTGCATGACATGGCATGACGTGGTGCATGACATGGCATGACGCGAAGCAGCAGTGGCAATCAAGGGAGAGGAGGGCGCAGCGCACACACAGGTAGGTGAGGGAGGCGAGGCGGGAAAGAGCCCGGGGAATGGAGCCCTGCAGAAGGTTGTGCGCCAGGTTGATGGTCAAGGGGAGGACGCGGTGGACAGGGGTAGACATGGGTGGGTGGGGGTGGGTAGGAGCAGAAGTTGTCAATATTAAGATGTGACAGAGACGTACCATGTCATCTGATGTGCAATGTCACACACGCACATACCACCACACATGCTCACACACATGTCGCGTCATCTCACATGCTGACATGGCACCTCACATTTGCTGACATGTCATCAGAGCACATAGCAAAGCAAGGGCATACATACATACAGCAGAGTGAGCGCGGTGAGGCGAGAAACGAAGGTTGGAATGGACCCTGTGAGAAGGTTGCCCGACATGTCCCTGGGGGGGAGAGAGAGAGAGCACAGGGACACGGCGGGGGGGAAACACGGAGAGTATGGGCGGTCATAGGAGAAGCTATACCATACAGAGGGGCTTGGGGCTGTGATAGGAGAGACAGAGAGGGAATGGGCGTGGGAAGGGAGGGGGTTAAGGAAAGCATGGGTGTGAGGCACGAGAGTGAGGGACAACAGAGAGGGATATGCATAGTGCATAGACAGGTGGGAAGGGCAAGGCAATGCGGAGGTGGCAGGTGGGAAGGGCAGGAGGGCAGAGATGTGGCAAGGTGAGGGAAACGCACAGCTCGTGGAGATAGGTGAGGGTGGAGAGGGAGGGGTCGAGCGCTCCCGAGAATCTGTTGTGCGAGTAATTGCTGGAGGATGGAGGAGGGGAGCGGTGCCGAGGGGATGAGGCAGGGGAGAGGGAAGAGGGGATGGTGATGGGTGGGGGGGTAGGGAGACAAGGTGAGGGAATGGACAGGCATGGGTGAGTGTCCGACATAATGGTTGCACTGGTGTGAGGGAATGAGGGTGTCGAGATGATGGGAAGGAATGATGCTTGGTGTGATGTTGGAAGGAGTGATCGTGCAGACTGGGTTGTCACAGTCAGTGGCTGGGTTGTCACAGTCAGTGTGTTGCTGAGGGGGACTGCCCACGCATTCATGATCAGTGTGCTGCTCACGCGCTCACCACCACCACGCATTCATGATCAGTGTGCTTAAATATCTCACATACATGGTGAAAGTATGAGGGCTCTCCTTTTGCCCCGAAAAGAACGCTCTGCCTGATAAATCGTTGTGAGAGATGTCGCTGGGAAGAAAAACCACCGCAGGGGAGGGGCCACGTTTCAGGCGCTTCAAACAGAGCAGAAAAATGGTTCGGGTTGAGAGAGGGAAAAAAAGGTTAGGGGGTGGCTAAAGCCTGGGTTCCGGAAGAGATGGAGGGCGAAGGTGGTGGGGGCTTGCCAAAGGCTCAGCTGTCTGAACCGCTTGCCTAGCAGATTGTCTAGTTCTGATGTTGATATTCGCATTATGGACTTGGCTGTGCTGTGCTGTGCTCTCCCCAGTTGATTCGACGACTACGGACTGTTCAAGGGAGAGGAAGGAAGGGCGACTTGCTGCATGTGGTTTCTTAGAGTTCTTAAGAACCACATGAAACAAGGGGGAGGGGCGACGCACAGGGTGAAGGAGGGGGAGGGGCGACGCACAGGGTGAAGGAGGGGGAGGGGCGACGCACAGGGTGAAGGAGGGGGAGGGGCGACGCAAAGAGTGAAGAAGAAGTTGACGTTGAAGTTGAAGGGGATTTCCCCCGAGAGGCGGTTGAATGACGCATTGCTGCCAGACAGGGGGGCACAGGGGTGCATACGGGCATACGGGCACAAAGGGCGCACAGGGGGGCACAGGGGTGCACAGGGGGGCACAGGGGGGCACAGGGGTGCATAGGGAGGCACAGGGGTGCACAGCGGAGCACAGGGATGCACAGGGAGGCACAGGGGCACACAGCAGCCCACAGCGACGAGAATTGATAGGCAGGGAAAGGAAGACAGGGATCAGGTTGGAAAGAAATGCATTTGGATGGAAGGGAAAGAGTGTGCCTCACAAGCGGAGGGCTTCAAAGCAGAGGGGTCAGAATCAGAGGGGTCAGAATCAGAGGGGTCAGAATCAGAGGGGTCAGAATCAGAGGGGTCAGAATCAGAGGGGTCAGAATCAGAGGGGTCAGAATCAGAGGGGTCAGAATCAGAGGGGTCAGAATCAGAGGGGTCAGAATCAGAGGGGTCAGAATCAGAGGGGTCAGAATCAGAGGGGTCAGAATCAGAGGGGTCAGAATCAGAGGGGTCAGAATCAGAGGGGTCAGAATCAGAGGGGTCAGAATCAGAGGGGTCAGAATCAGAGGGGTCAGAATCAGAGGGTCAGAATCAGAGGGTCAGAATCAGAGGGGTCAGAATCAGAGGGGTCAGAATCAGAGGCGTCAGAATCAGAGGGGTCAGAATCAGAGGGGTCAGAATCAGAGGGGTCAGAATCAGAGGGGTCAGAATCAGAGGGGTCAGAAACAGAGGGGACTGACAAAGTTGGGCCGCCAAAAGCATCGGTGAACCTGAGACCGGATGGCAGGGGCCCTGTGAGGTCGTTGACTGACACGTCACTGGCAGACCATGGTTGGGGGACGGGAGGGTGTGGGAGGAGGGACGAGGTGAGTTTTGAGTGGACTCAAAAGCTGCGAGGCCGTTCACTGACATGTCACTGGTAGGACATGGTGAGGAGGGGTTGGCGGGCGGAGGCGGGAGGGAGAAGATGATGAGGCGAGGATGGAGCCGAAGGAGAAGGAGAAGTTGGTGTATTGAGTAGGCGTGACAGCAAAGGGCTGAAATGGATGTGAGGAGTAGGATGCATGGACGCTTGCTGGAGAGAGGAGGCGGGGCATGCCATGGTGCATCGCGCATGGTGCATGGCGCACGTCGTATGGCACATGCCGCATGGTGCATGGAGCATGGGACATGATGACGACGCATGGCACATGGTATTGTAGTAAAAGGCATACAAGGAGTCGAAGACGCTGTTGGCAAAGGTGGATGGTATGGAACCATTGAAGCGATTGCAGCACAGTGAGCTGCACGTGGCAATGGGGAGAACAAAGAAAGAACGAGAGATAGAGAGAGGGAAAGGCTTTTGGGTGAAGGCAGAAGAAGAGTTTGTTGTGCTGACAGGGCACAGAGGCGGAGAGAAGTGCTGACAAGGCATGGAGGGCGAGAGAGGTGCTGACATTGCGTTGAGGGAGGAGAGAAGTGCTCACACGCCGCTGAGGGAGGAGAGAAGTGCTCACACGCCGCTGAGGGAGGAGAGAAGTGCTCACACGCCGCTGAGGGAGGAGAGAAGTGCTCACACGCCGCTGAGGGAGGAGAGAAGTGCTCACACGCCGCTGAGGGAGGAGAGAAGTGCTCACACGCCGCTGAGGGAGGAGAGAAGTGCTCACACGCCGCTGAGGGAGGAGAGAAGTGCTCACACGCCGCTGAGGGAGGAGAGAAGTGCTCACACGCCGCTGAGGGAGGAGAGAAGTGCTCACACGCCGGTGAGGGAGGAGAGAGCAGCGAGGGGCGCCAGCGACCCCGAAAACAAGTTGCTTTCCAGCTGGCTGCCGTGGGGGGAGGGGGGAACATGGATGGTGCATAGGGTTGTGAAACATGGGGTTGTGGGGCAGGGGGCAGGGGGTTGTGGGATGGAGGGGGAGATGGGGGTGTGGGGAGTAGCAAGGAGGTGAAGCTTACGGTAGAAAAGGGGTTTGCTGCGACATTGGTCCGTGGCAGATGTGGCGGGTGGTATGATGGACGCTGATTGGCAGGATGGTGGCAGTTAATGGCAGTGTTCATGGAATGACATGGCATGGCGTGGCATGGAGCTTAGACTTTGATGGAACTGAGACTCACATGGAGCTGAGACACGGCATGGCATAGCATGGCATGGGTCGCATGGCATGGGATGGCATGGCATGGCATGGCATGGGATGCATGGTATGGCATGGTATGGCATGGCATGGGATGGGATGGCATGGTATGGCATGGTATGGCATGGCATGGCATGGCATGGCATGGCATGGCATGGCATGGGATGCGTGGCATGGCATGGCATGGCATGGCATGGCATGGCATGGCATGGCATGGGATGCGTGGCATGACATGGCATGGCATGGCATGGCATGGCAGGCATGGCATGGCATGGCATGGCATGGCATGGCATGGCATGGCAGGCATGGCATGGCATTGTATGGAGTTGAGACTCACAGGAAGACGAGGCTGGCCATGCTGGAGAAGGACTTAGGGATGGTCCCTGACAGGCGGTTGTGTGACAAGTCTCTGCATGCACACAAGTCATTTGGCATGCGCACGCACATGGGGGTGAGATGATAGTGACTGGGATACGATACAATGATTGAGGGGAGGCTGTTGAAGGATGAAAGCTGAGAAAATACTGGCAGGCCTTCACAGGCTGCAGAGCTGACAAGTGCTCTGCACTCACATGGTGACTCAGATGCTCACATGGTCACTCAGATGCTCACATGGTCACTCAGATATGCTAATTCGTGAGGGGCGGCTCACAAGTTGTAGAGGTTGGTAAGGCGCCCCATGACGCTGAGGAGTGATCCTGTAAAGGCATTGTTGCTCAGGTCCCTGCCGAAGACGAGGAGGGAGTGGAGGGAGCGGAGGGAGAGGAGGGAGAGGATGATGCGGAGGGGGTGCAGACGGGGCGAGGGGCAGAAAACAGAGGGACAACATGGGTGCTTGGAAGGAGAAAACGGAAGAGAGGGAGGGCGAGGTGTAGCCGTGGATGCTTGGTACCGCACATACATGCCGGGCGGCACACGCACATGCCAGGCAGCACACATACATGTCGGGCGGCACACATACATGCCGGGCGGCACACGCACATGCCAGGCAGCATACATACGTGCCGGGCAGCACACATACATGCCGGGGGCGCACATACATTTCGGACGGCGCACGTACATGCCGGGCAACACACATACATCACATATACATGCCGGGCGGCACACATACATGCCGGGCGGCGCACATACATTCCGGACGGCGCATGTACATGCCGGGCAACACACATACATCACGCATACATGCTGAGCGGCACATACATGCCGGGCGGCGCACATACATGCCGGGCGGCGCACATACATTCCGGACGGCGCATGTACATGCCGGGCAACACACATACATCACGCATACATGCTGAGCGGCACATACATGCCGGGCGGCGCACATACATGCCGGGCGGCACACATACATGCCGGGCGGCGCACATACATGCCGGGCGGCACACATACATGCCGGGCGGCGCACACATACATGTTGTAGAAAGAGACCATGTTGCCGATGACAGCAGGAAGGCTGCCCGAAAACTTGTTCCTCCCCATATACCTGGTGGTAGGGGCGGCATGGCATGGCACGGCTTGGCATGGCACGGCATGACATGACATGGCACGGCATGACATGACATGGCATGGCATGGCATGGCATGGCATGGCACGGCACGGCACGGCACGGCATGACATGACATGGCATGGCATGGCATGGCATGGCATGGCATGGCATGGCATGGCATGGCATGGCAGGACATAGAGCGGGTAGAGGCAACTGTCGACCGGCCAGCTGGTGGAAGTGGATGGCAGAACAAAATGCCTGACTGACAGGGATGAAAATGTGACTGACAGGGACGAAAATGTGACTGACAGGGACGAAAATGTGACCGACAGGGACTAAAATGTGACTGACAGGTACAAAAATGTGCCTGACATGGAAGAGTTGTTGACTGACAGAGAGGAATTGTTGACTGACAGGTAGGAATTGTTGACTGACAGGTATAAAATGTTGACTGACAGGTAGAAATTGTTGACTGACAGGTATAAAATGTTGACTGACAGGTAGGAATTGTTGACTGACGGGTAGAAAATGTTGACTGACAGGTAGGAATTGTTGACTGACTGACAGGTAGAAATTGTTTACTGACAGGTGGGAAGCGTTAACTGACAGGTTGGAGAGCTTGGTGAGTCTGCTGAGGAAGGTGGGGAAGGGGCCTGAAAAGGAGTTGTTGGAGAGGTCCCTGCCATGCATGCATGCCACACGCACTCGTGCGAACACACACATACATCCACACACACACATTCACCCACACACTCGCACGCACACATGCGTGCAAACATGCATACACACACTCACACAAATGTACGCACACGCTCTCACATATACACTCACACATGCACAGGCACACACGCACATGCACACACACACACACACACACAGGCACACACACACACACACACACACACACACACACACACACACACACACACACACACATACACACATGCACTCACACATGACTCACAGAAACACCAATCAGAGAGACCGTTAGAGGCGTGTCGGTGCCAGTACTGACAAAGGTGAGGTCGACTGTCAGACAGGCGAAGTTAACTGACAGAGGGGCGATATTAACGGAAAAGGGGTGAAGTTAACTGAGAGAGGGGTGAAATTAACTGACAGATGGGTGAAGTTAACTGAGAGAGGGGTGAAGGCACCTGAGAGAGAGGCAACGTTAACTGACTGAGGGACAATGTTAACTGACAGCCGGGCGGCGTTAAGCAACAGGGAGCGAACTCAATTAACGGGGGGACAACGTTAACAGAGAGGGGCGAAGCGAACTGACAGTTTTGTGAGATTGACGAGGTTGCCGATTTCAGAAGGGATGGAGCCACGCAGGTAGTTGTCTCCCAATGACCTGCGAATGACATGGCTCACGCATCAGCGTTGGTCGCATGCATCAGCGTTGGTCGCATGCATCAGCAATGGTCGCATGCATCATGCATGGCATGGCACGGCGTGTCATGGCAGGAAACGCACGTATCGCATGGTATCAAGGTTCTTACTAGTTCCTGGAAACAGTTGGGATGCGTTGAAATAATGGCGCATGATTCAACACAGCAAGCCAGTCCCAACACATGTGGCGTTCAGTGGCTCGAAGCACAGACGCTCACAGGGATTCAAGGTGCTTCAAGCGCAGACGCTCACAGGGATTCAAGGTGCTTCAAGCGCAGACGCTCACAGGGATTCAAGGTGCTTCAAGCGCAGACGCTCACAGGGATTCAAGGTGCTTCAAGCGCAGACGCTCACAGGGATTCAAGGTGCTTCAAGCGCAGACGCTCACAGGGATTCAAGGTGCTTCAAGCGCAGACGCTCACAGGGATTCAAGGTGCTTCAAGCGCAGACGCTCACAGGGATTCAAGGTGCTCCAGCTGGAAAATATCTAAAGGCAGCTCTCCTTGGATTGCCTTGTACTGCCAATCACTGCACGCACAACAGCCACGAGTCAAGGCAAGAAAGCGTCACTCACTCGCAAGCATCTCGTACTCCTCCTGCTACCCTAACCTGGGAATCAGCACCAGCGACAGCATGAGCAGCAGCAGCAGCAGCAGCAGCAGCACTAACATTTGAGTGACGTAGCCACTGTCGCTGCAAGTGAGGCCGACATTGACGCAGGAGGTGATGTAACGCAGGTCATACGGAAAGTAATCTAGATCCAGTGTCACACTTGAAAGAATGTCCGCTGCCAAGCAGATGAAGAACGTTACCGTTAGGCCCAGAGTGCATGAGAGTGAACTTATGTTGGGTGGCAGAATTGAGCTCAGATTGCGCTAGACCATTGCGTGAAATACTGAGAAACGAAGCAACATTAAGTGAAATACTAGAATCGAAGCTACATTGATGAGAAAAGAAGCCGACATTGCGCGAAATCAAGCCAACAATGCGTGAAGGAAAGCCGACATGCGTAATCGCGAGCTTACCCTGCGTGGAATTGAGCGGCCAGTAGCACTGCTGCAGGCTCGTGTCCTGACCCGCGCACGGCACGGCGTTACCCACCAGCAGCAGCAGCACAGCCGCTACCACCAAGGCGCATCCCTTGGAAGCCGCCATCGTTCCACCCGAGTTGCGAATCTTAAGGTTAACAAATACCAAACCGACGTTTGCGGAGAGCTAAGACGAAACTGCACGCACAAGCGCGTGTAGGTTGGTCCTTAGGAAATTCATCGTTCGTAGAGGCTCTCAGGTTGTCAGGCTGCAAACTACGGTGTGTGCAGCGAAGTAACACAGGGTTACTTGTACCAGATGAATAAATGATAACTTCCAGCAATCAAGCCAGCTAGAATGTGACACGAACATTTGATTTGAATCCTTTTCCCGTCACCCTCGTCCCGTCAAATTGATAGTATTACTAATTATCTCTTTTCCCAATAATAAATGCTCGGAGTGCTATGCTGCACGCCAAAATTCATGTACTGCACTGCGCTTTGTCAGGCAGAGCGACTGTGTGCGCATTCAGGCAGAACACTACGTACTGTGTTGAACAAGCATAGCCATGGTCGGCTCACTAGCTGGATTAGAAATCCAGTCATCCAGCAGTGAGAAAGTGGCAAAAACTGGGGATGATGAAAGGGTCCGGAAGCTCGTCCTGCGGATTTACCTGGGGAAAAATGCTCGTCATCCTCGTTTCGTCCTGGGAGTTGGGACGAGTCGAAAGTGGGCGCAAAGCTGGCGCAAGGCTGCGCCGAGTACGACATCACCCACCGCCCCTTGTGCACTGCTGCAACTGCCCGTTTCGACCCGGTCCTGCCCGAGGTTTGCATGTTTGAAGTTTCGAATCTTTGAAGTTTCGAATGGTTGAAGTTCCGAATTGTGTGCTTGCGAAATCGCGACTATCGTCAATGTAACCAGTTCGGCTGCCTTTTGACGGTGTCTTGTCGCCCGGCCGGTTGCGACCGAACAGTGTGCGCGACTCTCAAACAGTAAACGCAACGGAATGTTTTGGAATGGAAACGAACGGGGTACAAATAAGCAACCCTAGAAACCGTACCCCCTGCAGTGCAACTCACTACAGCCTATCATATCAATGTTCAACATTTGACACACCCCCATAGGCTAAGTGAGGGGCATCAAGGCAAGCAAGGTGAACAAACGGTCACAAGACCAGTCGAAGCAAGAACCAAGACAAGCTCAGGGTGGATCTCAAGGACACCACACAAATTCCGAGCGCAAGCAAGCGGCCACAAGGCCAGTTCAAGAGTTAACTAGCATATAAATACAAAGCGCAACAAGCAGAGAAAGCAACAGGACTACAGCACCCTAGGGCCTACCTCAACAAGCCCCAACTGCACACAGAACCTGTGGTGGTCACCAAGCGCCAAGGCCTTGGTGAAGACGTCTGCAGTGTTGGCCTCTGAGGCCACAAAGTCCAGGCGTGCCTGGCCGCGTCGCTGCAGCTCTCGCAGGAGGAAGTACCTCACGTCAATATGCTTCACTCTGCTCTCCAGTCGAGGCTCTCGACACAGGAGGATCATGGCCTTGTTGTCAGCGTACAAGGTCGGTGCAGAGCGAGGCCGCTCACCAAGGTCGGCGAGCAAGAAGGTCAACCAGCGAAGCTCCTGTGCCGCCATGGCACCAGCGTAGATCTCTGCCTCTGCACTGGAAGTAGCCACAGACGACGACCGTGTAGACCTCCACGACACAGCACCAGCTCCCAGACTGAAGCAGTAACCCTGAGTCGAACGCTGAGTCTCCACGTCGTCAGCGTAGGAAGAGTCACAGTGACCAGTCAACGCCACTGGCTGAGTCCCTCCAAGCACAAGCCCCATGCCTGATGTAGTCGCCAGGTACTTCGCCACCCTCACAGCAGCTGTCCAGTGGACAGGACGGTGTCTCCCAGTCGCAACAAAGCGAGAGAGGACGCTGAGGGGAAAGGCGAGGTCCGGCCGAGTACAAGTCATCAGGTACATGAGGCAGCCCACCAGCTCTGCGTAGGGACCACTGGACTCAAAAGGCTCGTCGGGAAAGGGGCCAGTGAGTCTGTGGTCAACAGCAAGAGGAGTGGGCTGTGTGGTGGAGAACTGGAAGTCGAACCGCCGAAGGACCTGCTGCACCATGTGTGACTGCGTCAGTGTGATGGTGCAAGCGGCTCTGTCCCGGGTGATCTGCAAGCCAAGGTAACGCTGCAGCTCACCCAAGTCAGTGCACTTGTGTCTCTTCTACAGTTCGGACTTCACCTGAGCCAGGGCTGCCCTGTCTGCTGTAGCAAACACCAAGTCGTCGACGTAGACAAGGATAAAGAAGGGAGTAGAACCCGCTCGAACAAACAGCGTCGGGTCGGCGGAGGACGGGCTGAACCCAAGGTCACGAAGCGTGGAGCGAAGAGTGTCGTGCCACTCACGGGGCGACTGGCGGAGATCGTAGACTGGTCGCCTCAGGCTCCACTGGGTCCCGGGTGGGAAGGTGTCAGTGAAGCCAGGAGGACGGCGCAGCCAGATCTCCTCGTGCAGTCGGCCCTGGAGGAACACAGTGGAGAAGTCGAGGGAGTGCAGCTCGTAGTCTCGCTGCGCTGCTATGTGGAGTAACACCCGAAGAGTAGTCATCTTCGGGGTCGGGGCGAAGGTCTGGAAGAAATCAACTCCCTCACGCTGACTGAAGCCCCTAGCCACGTAGCGCGCCTTGAACACCGGCGGTGCTCCAGGCGGCCGCTTCACCTTGAAGAGCCACATGCCATCGACTACGTTCGCCCTGGGAGGGGGAACTGCGTCGACGTAGGTGCCTGTGGATCTCCAAGGCGCCAACTCTGAGTCCATAGCCGCTTTCCACTGAGAGGCCCACGCCCCTGACACTGCCTCGCGGTAAGTGCGAGGAGTCGGTATGTCAAGGGCGTCAGGGTCTCCCTCAGGGGAGAGCAGCATGGCACACACAGAGGGAGAAGCGGCTGCCCAGTACTCCAGCTCAGACTCTCTGTCCTCTAGGACGTCACAGCCAAGGGCAAACTCACCCCCGACGGACAGAGGACGGTAGGGAGGAGCTGGCACCACACTGGTGGCGTAGTCAAGGCGGCTGGCGGCAGCAAACTCAGCGACAGCGGCAGTGAGAGCAGAGACCGACGACGGAGGGAAACGAGAGTCGGTGACAAGAGTGGCAAGGACACGTGCGGCAACAGGACGAACAGTGCGGTAGTAGTCAGTGATAGGAGTGGGGAGGGCTGGGAGAGAGGTCGGAGGAGGAGACGGGAGAACGGACACAGGAGAAGGAGAACGACGACGAGACGTACAAAGGAGGGCCGTGTGGAGGTCAGTAACAGGGGACGAGTGACGAGCACGCGGAGGACAACGAGTGACCAAGTCTTGACGGACCGAAGGAGGAGGAGACTGGGGAGGAGGAGAAGACCAGACCGCCGGACGGTCGTCAGGAGGAGGCAACGGAGGAACAAACACAGGAGGAGACTGGGAGCGGACAGGAGGAGAGGAGGAGAAGCCAAGGGCCCGCAGGCCACTCACAGGTGGGAACAACTGCCGCTCCAGAGGAAGCTGCGGTGGCGGCTGCGGCTGCTGCTGCTGCGGCGGCGGCTGCGGCTGCGGCTGCTGCTGCTGCGCCTGCTGCTGCGGCTGCTGGTGCTGCTGCTGCTGCTGCTGCTGCCGCTGCTGCTCCAGAAGGTCCAGCACCCGCAGCTCCTGCCGCTCCCTCTCCAACCACTCCTGCTCCTCACGCTCACGCCGGCGGGCAGCTTGGAGTCGTGTGTCGTGGCGGTGGGGAGGCGGAGTGGACTCCGCAGAACCAGGGTCAGACTCCTCAGACTCAGCACCCCCAGAACCAGCACCTCCAGTGCCAGGACCTCCAACTCCAGCACCCCCAGAACTAGCACCGCCAGTGCCAGTACCTCCAGCTCCTGCACCCCCAGAACTAGCACCACCAGTGCCAGCACCTCCAGCTCCAGCACCCCCAGAGCTAGCGCCACCTGCGCCAGCACCTCCAGCTCCAGCACCCCCAGAGCTAGCGCCACCTGCGCCAGCACCTCCAGCTCCAGCACCCCGCGACCGAGTACCCCCAGACCGAGCACCGCCAGTGGCTGCACCTCCAGCTCCAACACCAACCGAGTCCACAGTAACCTGTCGCGGAAGTGCCGAAGGCTGCTGAGGGGACTGTGAGGAGGACTGCGGGGAGGGAGACGCTATTTGACGCGCGACCGAGGGTAGGGGGGTAACGTGGGACACACCAGACGGGGCAGGACCAGGGGGGGGCGGGGGTACCGGAGGAGCGGGAGCAGGAGGAGGAGAGGGTGCAAGGAAAAGAGGGGGAGGGGGTACCGGGAGACCTCGACAGGGGTACCGGGTGTAGTAGGACACGGACTCGTCAAACCGGACGTCACGGGAGTCTAGGAACTGGTGGAGTGGAGGGTGGTAAAAGGACCAGTCGGCAGAGTCCACTGGGAAACCAAGGAAGACACAGGGGACGGCGCGTGCCGAGAGCTTGTCCGCGGAGGTGTCGCGAACAAGAGCAAGGCAGCCCCAGACTCGAAAGGCCGACCCGACACCAGGGGAACCAGTCCAAAGACTGGTCGGTGAAGCCTCGGGCCGCGAGACACGCGGCTGGAGGTTCAGCTGGTGTGCGGCGTAGCGAACCGCGTGGGGCCACAGAAAATGGGGCGCACGGGCATGGATCATGGACGTGCGGGCGATGTCCATGACCAAGCCTATGCGGCGCTCAGCAACCCCATTCTGCTGTGGGGACTCTGGCAGC